CCATAGGAACCTGGAATGTAAGATCCATGAATCAAGGCAAGCTGGATGTGGTCAAACAAGAGATGACAAGACTGAACATCGACATCTTGGGAATCAGTGAACTAAAATGGACAGGAATGGTGAATTTAATTCATATGACCATCAGGTATACTACTGCGGGCAAGAATCCCTCAGAAGAAATGGAGTAGCCTTCATAGTCAATAAAAGAGTAGGAAAAGCAGTACTGGGATACAATCTCCAAAATGACAGAATGATCTCAGTTCGAATCCAAGGCAAACCATTCAACATCACAGTAGTTCAAGTCTGTGTCCCAGTGGTGCTGAAGAGGCTGAAGTTGACCGGTTCTGTGAAGGCCTACAACGCCTTCTAGAATTAACACCAAAAAATGATGTCCTTATCATCATGGGAGACTGGAATGCTAAATTAGGAAGCCAAAAAATAACCGGAATAACAGGCAAGTTTGGCCTTGGAGTACAAAATGAAGCAGGGCACAGGCTGGTAGAATTTTGTCAAGAGAATACGATGGTAATAGCAAACACTCTTTTTCAACAACCCAAGAGAAGACTCTACACATGGGCATCACCAGACGGTCAGCCCAGAAATCAGATTGACTATGTGCTCTGCAGCCAAAGATGGAGAATAGCTGAGGAAAGAAGGGAAGCAAAGGGAAAGAAGGGAAGCAAAAGGCAGGAGGAAAGAGAAAGATACACCCAATTGAATGCAGAATTCCAGAGAATAGCTAGAAGAGATCATGATCATCTTGTTGCAAACTTTAGGCTTAAAGTGAAGAAAGTAGGGAAAAGCACTAGGCCACTCGGGTATGACCTAAATCATATCCCTGATGAATATACAGTAGAGGTGACAAATAGATTTAAGGAATTAGATCTGATAGACAGAGTGCCTGAAGAACTATGGACAGAGGTTCGCAACATTGTACAAGAGGTTGCAACTAAAACCATCCCAAAGAAAAAGAAATGCAAGAAAGCAAAATGGCTGTCTGAGGAAGCTTTACAAATAGCCAAGGAAAGAAGGGAAGCAAAAGGCAAAGGAAAAAGCGAAAGATACACCCAATTGAATGTAGAGTTCCAGAGAATAACTAGAAGAGATAAGAATGTCTTCTTAAATGAACAGTGCAAAGAAACAGAAGAAAACCATAGAATAGGGAGGACCAGAGATCTCTTCAAGAAAATTGGAGATATGAAGGGACTGTTTCATGCAAAGATGGGCATGATAAAGGACCAAAATGGCAGGGACCTAACAGAGACAGAAGAGATTAAGGAGAGGTGGCAAGATTACACAGAAGAACTATACAAGAAAGAGCATAATGTCCCTGATAACCACGATGGGGTGGTCACTGACCTCGAGCTGGACATCCTTGAATGTGAAGTCAAATGTGCCTTAGGAACATTTGCCTGAGCAACAACAAAGTTAGTGGAGGTGACAGCATTCCAGCTGAGCTATTCAAAATCTTAAAAGATGTTGCAGTAAAAGTGCTACACTCAGCATGCCAGCAAATTTGGAAAACTCAACAGTGGCCACAGGATTGGAAAAGGTCAGTTTACATTCCCATCCCAAAGAAAGGCAATGCCAAAGAATGTTCAAACTACCGCACCATTGCACTCATTTCACATGCTAGGAAAGTTGTGCTCAAAATCCTACATGCTAGGCTCCAGCAGTATGTGGACCAAGAACTACCAGAAGTACAGGCAGGATTTCGAAGAGGGAGAGGAACTAGCGATCAAATTGCCAACATACGCTGGATCATGGAGAAAGCTAGGGAGTTCCAGAAAAACATCTACTTCTGCTTCATTGACTATGCTAAAGCCTTTGATTGTGTGGATCACAACAAATTGTGCCAAGTTCTTAAAGAGATGGGAGTACCTGCCCATCTTATTTGTCTCTTGAGAAACCTATATGCAGGTCAAGAAGCAACAGTGAGAACTGGACATGGAACCACTGATTGGTTCAAAATTGAGAAAGGAGTTTGGCAAGGCTGTATACTGTCACCCTGTCTATTTAACTTAAATGCAGAGCACATCATGAGAAAGGTGGGGCTAGATGAATCACAAGTTGGAATTAAGATTGCTGGGAGAAATATCACCAACCTCAGATATGCAGATGATACCACTCTAATGGCAGAAAGTGAAGAGGAACTAAAGGAGGAGAGCACTTGAAACTCAACATTAAGAAAACTAAGATCATGGCATCCGGTCCTCTCACTTCCTGACAAGTAGATGGGGAAGAAAGGGAGGTAGTGACAGATTTAATTTTCCTGGGCTCCAAAATCACCGCAGACAGTGACTGCAGCCAAGAAATTAAAAGAGGCTTGCTCCTGTGGAAGAAAGCTATGGCAAATCTAGAGAGCATACTGTGGTGAGGAGCGCTTTCCTTCAGCTTCAGCTGATCCACCAACTGCATCCTTACCTGGATGAGTATTGCCTTGCAATGGTGATCCATACTCTGGTAACTTCCTGGTTGGGGAAAAAAAGCAGAAACATCATCCTGCCAACAAAAGTGCGTATAGTCAAGGCTATGGTTTTCCCAGTTGCCATGTATGGCTGTGAAAGCTGGACCATAAGGAAGGCTGAGCACAAAAGGATTGAGGCCTTTGAACTGTGGTGCTGGAGGAGACTCCTGTGAGTCCCTTGGACCGCAAGGCGATCAAACCGGTCAGTGCTAGAGGAGGTCAACCCTGACTGCTCTTGAGAAGGCCAGATCCTGAAGATGAAACTCAAATACTTTGGCCACCTAATGAGAAGGAAGGACTCAATGGAGAAGAGCCTGATGCTGGGAAAAATTGATGGCAAAATACGAAGGGGACTGCAGAGGATGAGGTGGCTGGATGGAGTCACTGAAGCAGTTGGTGTGAGCTTGAATGGACTCCAGGGATGGTGGAGGACAGGAAGGCCTGGAGGAATGTTGTCCATGGAGTTGCAATGGGTCAGACATGACTTTGCGACTAACAACACCATTTATTGACATAGTCAGTGATTCTTCCCTCTTCTCACATTCTTTTGTTTTTGAACAATCTTGCAAATCTCTGTCTACTATTGAGTTCTAAGCTCTCTAATCAGATTCTTCTTCTATCTATTTTGATAATGTCACTGTTGTGTTGTCCATGGGGACGCGATGGGTTGGACACGACTTTGCAACTAACAACAACAACAACAGTTGTGATATGCCAGATATTACTCTCCTTCCTAAGAATATGTCAGGGTTTAAGGCGCAACACATCTTTTTCTAATTGGTTTCATTAACCCGAGTTTAGTTGTCCGGAACTTCATCTGCTATAGCATTGTTTTTCTCCATAAAATTGTTAAGGGTACAATAGATTTTGGAATTAAAAATGCTTTCTTAACCAGTGTTAATAGAAGAGTTGCACGTTTCCTCGTTTGTAGCTTTTGCTTTTGCAACATTCCCTAGAATTAGTATTCAGGGCAGTTTGGCAGTCATCTGAATCCCTACGGCTTGTTTCTGAAAACAGCTGTGTTTTTAGTGGACACTTTCTTTTCACATACTATTGTTGCTGTACTTGAGTTTAAGAACACATTTTCCAAATGTCCCTGCAAGTATTTTGAATAATACTTTTAGAGGCATATAAGTAAACTTATTCAATTATTTTAAGGTGTGTTATATTTTAAAAACCGTTATTATATGACATGTTTCTGTGATTTAAGAACATAAGAAAAGCAATGCTGGATCAGACCCAAGGTCAATCTAGTCCAGCTCTGTACACATAGTGGCAAACCAGCTGCCCACAGGATCCTTCTAGCAGGATGGGTGTGAGACCTCCTTCTGCCCAAGCTCCTCAGTAACTGGTCTATACAGGTGTGCTAGTTCTGCTGAAGGAGGCAGCAAATAGTCCGTGAGGCTAGTAGCCAGGGCGAACTTCCTCCTGATTCTGTCCAGGCCCCTTTTAAAGCCATCCAGATTGATGGCTATCACCTCTTCCTGTGGCAGCAAATTCCATAGTTTAACTATGCACTGTAATAAAGTATTATGAGCACCTTGGGATAGAATTTCTCTCCTCAGTGACCATTTCAGTACATGCTCTCCTTTTGCCTTCTGCCCTTACTGCTGAGAAGGGAACAAACATCTGTCCTCTGGATGTTAAAACAAGAGATCCTTCTGCTTGATCAGAACAGAAGCTTTCAAGGCATCTTCTGCTATCAAGGTTCCTTTAAGGGTTTCCAGAGGTCACTCCAGGCACTGCCACTGTGGGTTGTAGTGACAACCATTGCGGAATCATCTAGCTATAAAATGGCTTCCAAGGGCAGTAAAACGTCACCACTCAGCAATGGTGGCTTCTTCTTTGGTAGACTTCCTCAGAGGAGTGCTAATGGAAACCAACAGTGTGGTTGGCACAGGGGATATGTGTGATCTACCATGCCCACAAGGGCAGGAGCAAATGTTATCTTTGGGGCAAATGGTTTTGTAGTGTATATTGATGTGACCAGCCAGCCCTTCCCTCTAGCGGAATCATATCATTATCTTCCCCCATGTGCACGCAGAGACCATTTATAAGAAAGGCATATGCCTGTTTCTATATGAGCTTTGAGGAGCATCCAAAGAATTAGGGAAACAGATGTTTTTCACAACCTCAGATCTCCAGATTTCCAAGGCTTGCGGCTAGAGTGCTGTCTAAAAGATTCCAAAATGCAGCTCTGTGAAGAACTCTGTGGTTCAGCAGAAAGTATGTTGGCTGGCTCAGAAAGATGTCACAAGGATGCAGCTTCTCCTTCAAGTGCGTTGGCAGTTTCTAAAGCATTGGCGGTTTCTGCATTGTCCTATTTTAATGACAATATTAGCGTGCCTTTACAGTTTGTTTCTTACAAGAATACCAATGCAGCAAGGGAGACTAAGAAGCTGGAAGGCTGGTGAACACTTGGTGGCTGGTGGCACCCAAGTAGCCCTGTTGTTCCTCCGCGGCAATGTGTGGCCTTTCATGGTGCCACTGCACACCTCCTTTTCATCTTGGTGTGATGTTTCGTTTGGTGCAGGAAAGGTCTTGAGTTACTGGTGCTTCAGTCCTGGATACAGCATGCACGAGCTGGTCCGCCAAGGTGTCCGTACCATCATTCTGACTAGTGGGACCCTCTCCCCTATCTCCTCTTTTACCATGGAAATGCAGATGTAAGTCTCCTTCCTTTGTGCATGTGAAACATTGACATGTTACAGTTGGGGTTATGTTGGCGATGGTATTTGTGTGTGGTGCATGCCCCCCTCCCCCGAGAGGCTTGACATCTTTTACTGAAGCTCTCGTCGGCCTGACGGTGCATTCCTCAATTCCTTACACTAATGCAAGATTTGACGTGCTTATGCTTTAATAAAATCGTACTTCTATTAAGAAAAAGATAGACCACACAGAGAGCCTTGAATTATAGTTCAAATCGATCAGTTTACAAGTTAGCAAGTCTGCTAATATAAATCATTTATAAATAGAAATCATACTCATTCACAGGAGATATACTTACATTGTCCTTGTTAGTCCCATAATCCCTGGAATATATACACAGACTGGCTTTTTTTTTCATCTGTAATTGTTTAATCCTTTCTAGACAGGAATTCTCTTCTAGGGTTTAGTTAAATCTTCCCTCCTAGTAAACACATTTCCTCCAGTCAGGCTCTCTCAGTTTACTTCAACAACTCTCAGCTTCAGTTTAGATGCTCTTCTTACGGCCTTTTGCAAAAGGAACCATAAGTAAGAGGGATGATTATCCATTACAGTATCCAGCATGGCAAAAACACAGTGGAAGAAAAATCCTACTCTGGGTTTGAATGAAGTCAGGGAAAGTCTAGGTCAAACTGAAAAGGGAATAGGTGTGAAATGATTGTCCCAGGTATGGTTGCATTCATCTTCTAGCTGACATTGGATAATAGTCCTACTGCTTACGGGGAAGCCATGAAGCCCATAGAATCAACACATTAGTGATACCCATAGAGCTGATAGGATCCTTTTTTCCTTTAGACCATTTCCAGTTTGCTTGGAAAATCCACATGTTATCGAAAAACACCAGATTTGGGGTGGGATAATCCCTAAAGGACCTGATGGAGGTATGCTGAGCTCCACCTATGAAAAAAGGTAAGTCTTTTCTATTGAATGTGGATCCTCTTTTTTGTGCTTTCTTGGCTTGGTCATTTAGTCATCCCCCTTTCAAATTTTATATTTGTGCCTTGTGGGACTACAGTGGCAACATTCAGACGTAACAATTCCCTGTTATGAGAATGTGCTGGCACAGCCTCCAGCCCCTTCTCTTATTGAAGCCAAGACCCATGCTTGGATCCTCCCCTGTTTTGGCTGCTGCTGCGATGGTCCCAGATTGTGACCGTAGCTTTGGGAGAGTTCAGCCCTTTCCCCCTCATTACTTCCTGTATGAATCTACCTCCTCTTTACCTGAAACTGCCGTTTCCTCTCATGGCAAAATGTACAAGAATCTATATGTGTGTGCTCTTTCTTCCTACCCTCCCACCCTTGGAATCATAGAACTTGATCTTTAATTTTCCCTGAAACTCCTTAGATACTTCACTGAGTTGGGGATTTGGGATTCAGGTCCCACTCTAAACTGTTTCTTATGCTGCCACGTTTGGTAATAATCATTCCTGTGACCTCAGATACAGCTTTAATATAGGAAAGAATGTGATGCGGTTGATAGTGTGGGCAACTGTATTTCACTCAGCTGGAAAGGGTCCAGTATTCTAACCTGTTGATATGGGCCAGAATATAGAAGAGTCTGCCACTTACTTATCTTATGCAATGGATGATCAAAATTGCATAGAAAATGCTGTTATCTCAAGCAGGCGTGTAAATATGCAGATAATATTAAAACACATGTTGTGTGAAGAAGTGCTTTCATTTGCCTGTCCTTCACTGACTGCTCGTCCAATTCGTTGGAGGATCCTGAATTGTGGAATTACGACAGAGCCAGAAAAAATACCTTTTTCCAGACAATGCATCTTCTAGATCTGTGGCATCTCTGCTTCGTCATCTTCGTTCTAAACTGAAGTTGGCTTATTATTTGTATTTCTGAGATGTGTACCAAATCGCCTTGGAACTTTTAATCATGTTACAAACTGAACAGTAATGCAATGGCATTTAATTAAAACATCAAATTTATTTATTTATATTGTGATTTATGTCCTGCCTTTTTCCGACAAAGGGCTGAAGGCAGCTTACATCATTCTCCTCCTCCATCTTATCCCCACAACAACCAGCCTGTGAGGTGGGTTGGGCTGAGAGTCTGTGACTGGCCCAAAGTCACCCAGTTGGCTCCATGGCTGAGCGGGGACTCGAACCCAGATCCTCTGAGTCCCAGCCCCACGCTCTTAACCACTACACCACACTGGCTCGGGAGATTTACACTGGGAAATTTACTTTTTCCCATAGGAACGGTGCTCCTCCTCCCCTAATAACCACTCCCAGCAGCTTCACATAGATATTAAACTCACCGGACCCAGGATGTTACCCTGCAGAGTTCCGTGACTCAGTTGCGAGGGGTTGAAGGAACAGTCATCCAGTGCTAATAGGCACAGTGATGTGCTCCAGAACGGTGGGTTTCCACCACCGGTCCGTGGACTGACACTGGCATTTCCTGGCTGCCCGTGCCACAGACCAGCACAGGGGCTAGCTGGGCTTTCTCTGCACATTCACCACCTCTCCCTTGGCTGAGGAGGCCTGGGCGGGGAGAGGCAACTCAGCAGGAGCCAGCTGGAAGCCGCACAGTGCTGGGTCTGCCCTCTGAGCAGGGCCTCGAAGATCGGGCCCTTCCCATTTTTTGCTGTGCTTTCTCCCTCGCAAGGCAAGTGCTCAGGCGGGGTTGTGCTGAGTGGGTTTTCTCAGCCCGTCTGTGCTGGCAGGTATGGGGGTTTGAGCGAGGGGGCAGGCTCATGGTATTTCATTATCTCATTGTATCGATTTTGAATTCCTATTGCTCTGCTGTTAATATTGTATTTGAATTTGTAGTTGCTATGAGTATAGTTTTGCATTTATGTCGATTTTGTATTTTGCTTTTGTCAATTTTTGATCAAGTATTCTTGGAAAGAAGCAATAGCAGATTTCACACTAGACTTATTTGAATTAAATATTGCTCTCTAAAAATTTCAGTTGTATTGGATTACATTTACTTTCAATATTTTATTCTGTTAGCATTTTTTTTACTGCTCAGTTCTGGTTATTTTAGAGAATCTTCATATGTTAGTATAATATTTAATATCCATTATTTTGATGGATACATGCATCTTTGTATTTGGAAAATACTTGTTTATTGTGCCAGCAGTGTGCTAGTAGCCACAAAGAATGTGGAAGCAAGTTGTAACTTAATGAGTTTGTACACACTTTCATCAATGGAAATTATTCCAGTTGTTATACAGCACAGGTTTTCATCTCTTTCTAGCGTATAATTGATGGAGGGCTGTTCTCCAAGCATAACGTGCACTTGGAAGCACATTAGGCACTAATTAATACACGGAGATCGTGCGTCGCTGATTTTGCTTGTTGCATTTCCTTGTCCGCAGTGTGCCCCTCTTCTGCTCGTGGAACGGAGCATAGAAACGTAGAGGCTCCTGCCACACAGCTTATAGTCTGCAATAAAGCTTCCATGTAGCCTGAAGTGCCTGATCCTGCCTAATCTTGGAAGCTAAGCAGGGTCAGGCAGAAGCGGGATGGGTGACTTGAGTGTATGATTCTATGATTATTGCTGTCAACTGCCTAGAGAGCTTTGGCTATGGGCAGTATAAAAATGTAATAATAATAATAATAATAATTAATAAAAAGATGGTGATGCAGAGTGAAGAGCAGAAGCGGGATGGGTGACTTGAGTGTATGATTCTATGATTATTGCTGTCAACTGCCTAGAGAGCTTTGGCTATGGGCAGTATAAAATGTAATAATAATAATAATAATAATTAATAAAAAGATGGTGATGCAGAGTGAAGAGCAGGAGCTGAGAGTAGTTAGAATGGGTCTGGGAGAGGAAGGTAGAGGAGCCGCATCCCAGGTTGTTCCACAGAGGCCCCCCTAGTGACAGCTCCAGGAGGCAAGGAAAAGGCCTCCTTACCTGGAACACTGGAGCAGGGTAAGGAAGGTAGATGGAGAGCTTGGTAAGACATGGAAGGACTAAAGGTGAAGGCAGAGTCAGGGACAGGTGAAAATGTTTAAGATCTCGAGGCAGATGCTAGGTCGGGGCCATGAGGCAGCCACCACAAGAACTCTTGTTGCCCTGGCAGAGCTGGACAGAATGGAGAAGCCTTTGCCAGAGCCCCCCTGTGGCTGCCAGCTGGTCACCGTGACTGCCCTGGTCCACATCCTGCAAGCAGCTGCAGCTCTGACCCCAGTCCGCAAGTATTCACGGGGCGGACTGGGCTGCCGTCTGTGTTAGGGTGCCTCCGCAGGGTAATGAAATAAGAAAGCAGTTCCAGGAAGAGAAAGCAGTAAGTGAAATGAACTCACAGTCAGGTATGAAAAACAACCACCAGAGATTCAATAATGGTATTTTTTTAAATGATAAGTTTGTTAGTCATGTAATTGTATGGCTCTGCCAATAAAAAAGCTTGTTGCGTAGAGGGACATAACTGCTCGCTCCTTTCCCACACGCACACTTGCCCTTTGTCTAACAGTTCTGTTTTTTATGGAACCAGACTTAGCTAGAAAAATGTGGGAAAACACTGAGAAGAAAATGCAAAATTGCGGTAGACATGCCTAAGGATAAACTATGATAAATCTTTTCCCTCTGGTAATGTTTGTCAAGGGCATTGCTGAATGTGGTTTAGTTTTGTCTGTGTTTTCATTTCCAGGTTTTCAGAGGAATGTTTGTCTTCACTTGGGAAAACTATAGGTAAGACAGAAAGATGCCTTGCTCCAACTCACAAGTGAAGTCCTTGGAGAGGACGAGGGCTTTCCCATTTGAGATACCAAATGAGATCAGGGTTAAGGATGAAGTTGAATGGGTTGAAAGTACAGCTAGAGATGGGGAGGAAGGAATTAAGCCAAGGGCTTTTGGGGAGAAAGATGGGTTGGAGAGATCCTGAGAGAGGTGGGGGATACTGAGGAAGAAATGCTAATAGGCAGGGGAAAAGGCGGGGTTGCCTGAAACTCAGACGCCGCTGTGGCTTCTGATGGCAAAGCTAATAGGAATGAAGACGGCAGGCTGCGAGGAACGTGGCCAAGGATGCGTGCAGAAAGAAAGCAAAGAAAGGGCCTGAGGCACTGACGTCAGTGTGAACTTGGACTCAGTATGCATGTCTTGTGTTTTATTGCAGGAAATCTTGTTCGGATCATACCACATGGGTTGCTTGTATTCTTTCCTTCATATCCTGTCATGGATAAAAGCCTGGAATTTTGGAGAGTAGGTTTCCAGAAATGGGATCTGATAAGATCTTGGGTCCTACAATTATTTCCTTGTGGGTGTGATAGAGAGGAACAAAAACTTTAGGTCTAAGTTTACTTTAGGTCAAAAACTGAGTTCAGTTTACTTGCCATCTGTGGGACCTATTTAAATGACTAGGACTGGAGTTGAGTGGCATTGTGCAGAAGTTGACAGATGGGCAGACAGTCATACAGCTGGTCTGCTCTGCGCCTGCTCCACAGCAGTGCTATTACAAGGGGGTTGGATGGTGATGTGGCTTAAATGTGGATGGAGTTGTGCATAAGGCCCCGTTCTTGCTACCCCTGCCAGCATGAAGGCCCTTTCTGGAATGGAAACCCTGTTTGCTTATCACACTTCTGTACCACCCCGTAGCCCATTGGGTTCTCTGGGTGCTTTACAAAATTTAAAAGCCATGTAAGAACAATACATAGTCATATTTAAACAAACAATAGACAAACAATAAGACCAAGACAACCCTTACATTGTGAAGCGTCGCCACATAGATAACGTTGTGGAGGAACTGAACAGGTTGAAGAAAGAAATGGCCCCAGTTCACTGACATCACTGGTCCAACTTAGGACCTTCTGTGCAGAAAAGACCCCCTCGTAGCAATAGCAGCCTATGAATTGACCCCAGGGTGTGTTGTAGGAAAAGATTATCAAAAGTACATCTTTCTCCTTTCCAGTGGATCTAAACAGAAGGCTTTTGAAATGCATTCCTTTGAGTTAGACTGGGTTTTGGTGAAACAAGGTGCTTCATGGAAAGGTTGTCCGTAAGGAACATCAGTCAGAGTAACATGCTCTCCAGAATTGGTTCCAAACTGGAGAGCGCCTCCTCCTTTCCTTTCCAGAAAGACTTGACTCCACCTTCAGGGAGGTTAATGCTGCTTTGTGGACCAGGTGGTGGGACCACCAGGCGTTGCTTAGTTGGGCTGCTCATTTGGCTTGACAGCAGGTCGCTGGGTTAACGAATTCATGCCCCTCCTCTTCAACCCCTCCCTGTTCTGTAGTGCCTCCCCTGCGTCCAAGGCAGTTTGGTTCTCAGCAGCTGCTACCTGGCAACTCTCACGCACTACTCTTGATTTTTCCATGCCGCTTTCTGTCCCTCTCTTTTGTTCACATTCTGAGTCGGAGCTTTCTAACTGTGAGTGCAGTGTTTGGAGAGAAACTGACACCATCTCTCCAAAAGCCACGCAGTCATTTTAGCATGTCCCACGGGCTGCTGAGATCTCTCAGTGCACATGTTCAGCACTCCAGTTTTGGGTCAGATGGCTGTGGTTTCATCCAATTGACCGTAGTCTGCACTGGATTAGAATAGTTGCTCATTGACAGCCATTTCTGCTTCACCCTTTTCCACTGGAGGAGATCAGCTAATGCACAGCCTGGTTTAAAAAGGGCAGAGTAATGCTGAACAAATGTTGCATTTTCTCCTCACTGACACTAAACTTTTTGCTTACCCATTTGCAGCCAGTGTAAATTGCCAGTGGGGTAAGCTTACCCACTGGAGTAAGCACACTGAATGTGCCACGGAATAGCAGTGGCAGGGAGCTACGCAGCAGCAACAGGAATACCCATGAGCAGCTGCTGCTGCCTTCTGCATTGGCCAGGAGAGGCGTAAGACTCCAGGAGGGAACCATGATAGAAGCAGTGGTGTTCTTCACAGCGCCATTCCTGTGCCACCTGGGCTCCTGGTAACCCCCCACCCCCAGTCTCCTGATGGTAATGGCGCAACCAGTGCAGGGGGATGAGGCAGAATTCAGGCAAATAAAACCAGTCGTCAGTGACTACCCTTCAGGTGGTGTTACAAGCCCTGGGGTCACCACAGGTGAAATGTCCTAACTCCTAGTGGCATGTATGTCACAGACAACTGGATTTCAGCACCTGGACATTCTTGCTAGGAGTCGCCCACTTGGTCACAGGTGAATGCTATTTGCTAGCTAACAGGGAAACGAGGTATTGGTGAAGAAATACAGGTTCTCTTTCCTGTAGGTATTTTCTGCTTACATGTGCATCCTCTTCCTCATGTTTTACAGGAACACGATTTTGTGAAAAAAATAGAAGCAGTGAAGCCAGTTTTTGTAGAACCAAGAAACAAAGGGGCTTTCTCAGAGGTTGGCAAGACTTTAAATGGCTACATTTCCTAGCATTCCTAAGAGTTCACTGAACTCCTTTTTAAAAGATGTTTTTGTTCAACTGCTAGGATTTTTGTTTTATATGAATGATTTATTTCTTCTGTGCTGCATTTCTGGAACCAACCAAGACAGCTGCTTATGTTAATATTGTTCGTTTTACTCTTGGCCTGCTGTAATTTTGTTAAAAGAAGCCCTTAGTGCACCTGCAGGTGGGCTTCCTTCCTTCTGAAGCAACAGGATATTCAAATAGATTTAACAAAGAGTTACTCATGCTTAATTTCCAGTGAAATAAGCTGGATGTGCACAAGAGGATGTTGTCTGTGCTTTTTAATAACTTTGATGATCAACATATAACTTCCATTACAATTCGGTTATCTATAAATAAGCCCACATGTGATGCAGTGGTTTAAACCGCTGTGCTGCTGGGCTGGTTGATTGAAAGGTCACCAGTTCGAACCTGCACAGTGGGGTGAATTCCTGTTGCTCCGTCCCATCTCCTGCCAGCCTTGCAGTTCAAAAGCATGCAAATGCAAGTAAATAAAAAGGTACCACTTTGGTGGGCAGGTAACAGCGTTCCGTGCACTTTGGTGTTTAGTCATGCCGGCCACATGACCACGGAGACTGTCTGCGGACAAGTGCTGGCTCCCTCGGCCAGGAAACGGAGATGAGCACCGCCCCCTAGAGTCAGGCATGAGTGGGCTTTAATGTCAAGGGGAAACCTTTACCACCAAATTTTGTTGATATTCCTATTTTTCCTTTTCATTTTTTTTCTTGTATAAAATGCTGTGACTTCAGTCCAAGTTGTCTGAGCATCCTCTCCACCTCCTGTGCCTCCCCCTTCCAGGACAGCACCAGAGGGCTGCCAGCACCTTCTGTAGCAGATTTGGGGACATATAGGAAGCTGCAGAACGCAACATAGATCTCCTCTGCCTGTGATTTCTTTCCATAATGGAAGGAAACCTGTATATTTCCTGTTTGTATTCCTTTAACATAATTTGCCAAGGCATAAGAGGTTCTTTGTTATTTCTTCTGTGGAAACTTCTGTCATATAATTCCTAGCACAAGGAAGATTTTCTTTATTTAAGTAAATGCAGTTGACCTTGGTAAACAGGGTTATGATATCATTGTTTACATATGTCTCAGTAAAAAGTGGGAGAGTAGTTTTCCATTTTCACTAACTGATTTTCCCCACTAGGTCATAGATGCATATTACAAGAAGATTGCCTGTCCTGAATCAAATGGTGCTGTATTTTTTGCTGTGTGCCGGGGAAAGGTATGTGCCTGAAGGCTGATTTTCACAAAGCAATGCAGTATACTTAAAATTAAAACTGCTAACAATACCATCGAAAAAGCAATGGTACTATAAATACATGTGGAATAGTAAAGTGTGTAGCTAGCAAGAGCAAATTTAAAACTGGTAGATATTTTTTTTTTATTTTTGATTTATATCCTGCCTTTTTCCTGCAAAGGGCTCAAGGCAGCTTACATCTCCTCCTCCATCTTATGCCCACAACAACAACCCTGTGAGGTGGGTTGGGCTGAGAGTCTGTGACTGGCCCAAAGTCACCCAGCTGGCTCCATGGCTGAGCGGGGACTCGAACCCGGATCCTCTGAGTCCCAGCCCCACGCTCTTAACCACGACACCCCACTGGCTCTCAAAGGCCTAGGAAAAATGCTTTCCACCTGGTGCCAAAAAGGTATTAGATTCAGTGCCAGACTAGCAAGACAATACCAAAATTCACATGCCACCACTAAAAGGGGGCTTGCCTCCAGCCGTCATCTGCCTTATCTCCAGTTTTTGCTGGGATCTGTAGAAGGTCCTTTGAGGCATCTTAATAGTGTGGCAGGATCATGTGGAAGAAGGTCCTTCAAAGTACCCAGTCTTCCGTCCTTTCGCTTGAGATGGCCAGCACAACAGCAGTTGGCCTTCCTCCCACCTTGGACGCTTCAGGGGTGTCTGGATGTCATCCTGGCAATTGCACAGCAGCCCTGTCCATAATCCAGAGTTGTGTTGTTTCTGGCACATCTTGGATCAGCCACATCAGCTGGTGGGGCACGCCATTGGCTGCTTGCCTGCAGCGGCCATGGCGGCAGGTGTCCTACCAGCCTTTCCTGCTGCAGAGGGGGCTTTTCCTGGCTGCTGTTGCAGCTCTCTGTTTTTTCCAATAGGGAAAGCAGATGCAAGGCTTCCTTAGAAGGACTAGAGTAAGGGCCAGAGTCTGGTGGCCACAATGCACAGTTTGTCTAAGAAAGCCAGACAAGAACCACACACTCCCTTTTCCCAGGTCCCAGGCTGCTCCAGACTGTCAAGGAGGAGGCACTTCCCCTCTAAGCATGTCACGTTTGGGGCAGTATCCAAAGGGGCATGTACACCCCGTCACTGCGCCTCTGCTCCCGACCCCCATCGATGCCCTTTTGCAAGTGATGCATCTTGCCATTTCTGCGTCACAAGAGGGATCCTCCACCTAGTGGCTACCTAGCACTTTCTGGAAGAAGCCCCAGTAAAAAAACAGAAGGACTCGTTTCTGGGTCAAGATCGGCAGCTAGTGCTCCCTTATGCCAGCTCTGCTGACCTTACCCATTCCAGTGCTGAGTGCTTTTGCAAGCTTCAGACTGCTTCCAAAAATGCTAAATCTGTGTTCCTCAAGTGCTGACTGTGGAAGGGGAGCGGAAGAGCGTTTAAGAAGCAGCAAGGGCATAAGCACCCCATTAGAGACTGTCCGTTGTTTAACATTAAAAATAGTCTCCAGAAGGTCGTGGAGCCAAAGATAAGTATATTGGTTGGCATTTCAATTTTTCTTTGGCTTAAATAAATAAAATTAAAATTCTCCCTTCCTTCCTTGTCTCTGGGAAATAACCAGGAATTACTAGGGTGTAATTTTCACTCATAGATAAACTTTGGTTGCTCTGTTCCTTCCTTCAAGCACCATAATAAATGAATAATTCTTTGTACCGTCCTTGTGTCTGAGAGACAAAAAAATTCCCTTTGGCTTTAGTTCTCCCCCGCAGTCAGGGGTTTCCATTACTCTGTTCATTCCTGGATGAAGTAACTCAAAAATCCTCCCACAGGAGGGCTTCACTCCCCCATTCCTTTGTGCATGTTTCATACTTCACTCACCTTAACACCTACCATTAAGCCACTTTTTCAAAACAGCAGGTCACTTTGCTGGTGTGTTTTGTTAATGACTGCTGCAGCACTCTTTTCTGTCACAAAGTCAGCCTAAAACTAGTCAGCTCATAATAAAGCTTGTCATTAGACCTTTTTTTGTGCGGCGGGAACTGGCTCACAACAGGGAGATCTTATTTGGAACCATTCTGGCATCTGAAAGCAGCATCTGGAAACCCAGGGGCAGGAAGAGAGGGAAGCCACCAGACCTGTGGCTGAGGGGAGGTCCAGAGCATGTCACAGCCATTAACTGTCTGGGGCCCATGTTCCCCTAATCCGGCTAGCCCTCCTCCCAATGCCGTTATCTCTTTCAGCCCGTAACCATATTAATTAGAGCCCCTTCATGTTCCCCCGCTTGACCCCAAATCCTCTCTCCCACACAGCATCTCTCTTCTGCACTACATGCAGGGGTCTTTGTTTGTGTTGCTGCATGTGTAAGACATGGAAGAAGATTGCCAGTTGCACAACCATTGCTCTGCAAGCATGAATGGACTTCCTCTCAGCTCGGCTTGTTTTGCAAGACTGGGCCAAGCACAAGAGGAAGTCTATGAACGTTAGAGGAGTCGATTTCTTCAACCCCTGTCTGGCTCATCTCTGGATCTACTGGCCTTGACATCCTGGCTGTGGATTCCAACCCCTCTCCTTCATTTGGGTCAGAATCTGTTCCCGCATTCCTAAAAAGCTGCTTTGCAACAGAAATGAGCTCAATGCTTACGCAGGGTGAGGGAGGTGGTAAATGAGTCTATTTACCTCTAAAGGGTGACGTGCTGCTTTCCATAGCTTGAATCCTCGTTAGTCCCTTTGTTGGCTCTTTCTTCCTCCGTAAAATGGAAAATGCAAATTCACAAGGTCAGATCTCAGGAAGCAATATTGGCTTGTGTCTTCCTTGTCTATCTGTAATACAGTTTCTACCTTCAGAGGAACTGTTCTATTCAGATTGTCTCCCTTTAACCCAACCCCCCCACACCTTGCCCAAGTTTTCTAAGCACATAAAACTGATTTGTGTTAAGGAAGACTTTGCACTGGCCTGTTCATTTGCCCTGCATAAAAGAAGACCACTTCCTGCAGAAATTCGCAGCAGATGTGTGTTCCACAGAAAGATTAGTAGCAATGAGCCAGCCGTCTTTCGGGGCACTCTGCCTGCCTTTGCCTGCCTATCTACTGAGGAAATGGTGATAAGCTTCTACAGAACCTTTGGATTTTCGAGAATAGTTTGAAAATATCTGCATTGTCACAGTTTTACTGAACAACAAATTACAGCCGACAGTTAAAATCCAGCATGAGATGAAACAGCACACAAAAGCCTATATAATTAAAAAAAAGTTTTCAGTTGGTGTCAAAAATAAACATGGTCCAGTATGAATTTCTGTGAAATGAGAGTTCTGTAAAGCCCCATTTATATTCACGCAAACATCCTGCTGTGTGCTGACCCAGCATTAGAAAGTCTGCCAGGCCTGGATATCATTTTCTTTGCATATTTTGTTCTTCATTGCAGGCCGCATGCATCACACCCATGGGCTCTGTGCCTGCAAGAAACCTTTATTTAGGAAACTTCCATAGTTAAGAAAATGTGGCAGAGGTCCGTCCCCTCATTTACCATTCATGGGTTCTCACCTATTCTCTCAGTTCCTTTTCAGCCAGCATCCTGGTTGCCTCGTCAGGAACTTCTCATTAGAGGAAACACTCTCTCGACCGAGATATATTTTTCTATCCTCGTTCGTCTTTCATTCAGTTTCTGTACCTCTTCCTTTAGTTTAGGAAACCTTGATCACTCGAAAGTGCCTGTTGAGAAGTGTGTTCTTGGCGTCTGTGTGTGTCTCTGTGTGGTCACACCTCTGTTTGGGGAAGAGCCACACTGCCAGGCCTTCACTAAATGGGGCAGAGGAAGCAGGGTGCACAGACCGAAGGCTCTCCTTTGGAAGGGAATGCTGGAAGTGGGGGATCCCCCACTGGCACGCTTCACCAAGGCAGCTGCACCATCAGCTATGCCCACAGCCTCCAGAGCTGTCTTCTCCCTCACCAGCTGTCCCTGCACTCTTTGCTTTGGGATTTCTTGGCTGCCCCTGTATTATGTGATTTCTTAAAAAGAAGATTTATGTTGTTGTAGTGTGACTGCTTTTTTCTTATTGCTATTGGCGGCCCCGGCGGCCCCATTTTACAGAAAGAAGGGCTGGCTGCACCTGCATATGCAAATTGGATTGCACAAAAGTGTCTTTCAGTCGGTAGCTGCTGATTGATTCATCTTCAGAGAAAAAACCAGTCAAGGATGTAGGGTTTCTCTGTGGAGATGAAGTAGAAGCTGCATCCTGAAGCATGCCACTGTTTATCCCTTCTAGTAACCGATGTGGGTGACGTATTGTTTGTCTTCAGGCCAGTGAAGGTTTGGATTTCGCTGATAGAAATGGGCGGGCCGTCATCATCACAGGCCTCCCATTCCCCCCTCGCCTGGACCCCAGGATCATCCTAAAGATGCAATTCTTGGATGAGATGAGAGCAAAAAGTGTCGGTGGGCAGGTAAGGAGGGAAACATTTTGCTGGTAATTTGGATATGCCATACTTCTTGCCTGGCAGCTGTTTCTGTGAATTTCTTCCCTAGTTCCTTGTGCTGCAGGCTGTGCTGTTGAGGCTTTCCAAAATTGGCTGGATTATTTGTGTCGAAATTCCCTGCTGGCTACTGTAAATGCTCTCTGGAGCCATTAAAATCTAATCAAATGTACTAGTTGGCAGGGGACCAATCAAGCCTCTTCTCACTTGCGCTGTGTCGTCGTGAATATTTTTCTTGAAATATCTCTTTAGAAGGAACCTCTCTGTCTAGGTTAAGTGGTACAAATACATGAGGCACAGATCACTATGAGAGTAAGTCATGAGCACTTTCATGCTTCTCTGGGTTGGACTGGGAGTTACCTGAGTTGTTGTGGCTATATCAGAACCCAAGGCCTGGGGAATGTGATCAGCAGCTCAGACTGGGTTTGGAAGGGCAGCAGACAAAACGTGCTGCCCCATTGCCCTCGCAGGGTAAAGAACGGGCTCCTGATATTCGAACCAGGCCTGGGCAGCCCTGCAGTACCACAATGCCTGCCCATGGCATGCCCTGCCCCCTTTCATGTCGGGTGGGGAGAAGACTTCTGTGCACTGACCCTTTGTTTGCCTCAGGGCGGCACCACAGGGGGTGAGCTTGCTGCCTCTCTCGGCCCATTTTGGCTGGGAGAAGTCACAGTTCCAATACTTGGGTTCTTTGGTACGGTCTCCCAGCTGCATCTCCCGATTGTGTGGGGAGAAGTCATGTGGCTGGGGAAGCCCGTAGGGCTCTTCCTCCCTAGAGAAGGAGTGCCGTGGGAAGGGAAAGGGAGGGGGGCATGGCTCGCACGGTGTCTCCTTCCCGAAGGATGGCGTTAGTTTGGAGTCTGGTGTTACGGAAGTGGGAGGGGCACAAGAGTGGCCACATTGAATTGCACTAAAATGATGCTTTTTCTTCCTCATTTAGTATCTGTCCGGGAATAACTGGTACAGGCAGCAGGCGTCTCGCGCAGTAAACCAGGCCATTGGCAGAGTCATCCGGCATCGGCTAGATTATGGCGCCATCTTCCTCTGTGACCACAGGTGACCGTTTGCCTTGCTTGAGTAGTGTTCTTGGCGCAAACTCCCTTCCCCTCCTCTGCGCCAGCTCTGCGCCATGGCAGAACATTGTTGGCAGAGAGATGGTTGGTAGTTGAGGGTGGAAAATCACTTTTGCTAATTGGTTTGGGAAATGGTAGGAGAGTGAAAGCTGGAAGGGCTAGTTCGTCTCCCTGCCTCTTGTCAAATGCGTACCAAATTAGAAGATCATTAATCTCAAGTTTGTTTGTTTATTTAAAGTTTTTGTATGCTGTCCCCTTGCTATATAGCCTCAGTTGAACGGTCCAGTATGCCTCAGGAACCGGTCTTTCAAAGGCAGCGGGCTCAGAGGGTTGAGTATTGCTTACATGAAGCAGAATGAGTAAACTCAGCACCTGGAGTGTGTGGTGTTATCACTGCTGTGAATAGTTATTGTCGGAGGCCTGGCTGGTCGCTGTTTTACAAGACACTCTGCTGATAGAGGTGGTGGAGTAAAGGGTTGCCACTGCAGCTGCTCCCCACGCCAGTCCTTTTAGCAGCTGGGAAAGCGTGATCTCTGACAGGATTCTTGTGCATGCATAGGTATGCAGCTCCCAGGTCTGAAAAGTCCATGTGCTCCTGCCTTAAAAGCAAAAATTCATTACCAGGGAAGTTAATTGCTTCCAGCCGTGCTGTGAGAACACAAGGTGCAACTGGCTTTCTCTTTCTGCCTTCTCCAGATAATTTGGTCCTCATGTCCCAGGATTCTTGAGCATTAGCCATGCTGGCTGGGACTGCTGGGAGCTGAAGTCAGTCTAGTTGTAATAAGTGGGGAAGGATGAGCGGTGAGACTTGCATGTTCATGACCTCACCAAGGAACAAACTAGAAAAACAAAAGCTTGCTAACTAAAGTATTTTTGTTCCCTTGCGTAGGAGTCGCACAGGGTGAGCTCAGCTGGAGCTGGATCTAGCCAATATGGTAGCATTCCACATTCCCCACTGGTAGCAGCTACATTGCTAATACCCTGTTTCCCCGAAAATAAGACCTAACTGGAAACTAAGCCCTAGCATGATTTTCAAGATGCTCGTGATATAAGCCCCACCCCAAAAATAAGCCCCAGTTAAGATCGTCAGCCAGACAGACATGTTTAGTACCTCCATCGCAACACAATTCAGGAGTCTGGAGAATTATGATGATGTTCTACAAGAAGATGACATGACTGTATTTGAATAAATGTAGATTGTTGTACATGAAAAATAAGACATCACCTGAAAACAAGCCCTAGTGCGTCTTTTGGAGCAAAAATTAATATAAGACCCGGTCATATTTTCGGGGAAATATGATACATTGTTAAGGGAGCCTTGAAGCAATTCCTTTGTGGTTTATTGGCCAACACTTTGGGTAATTCTTTTATCCAACCCTTGCCATGGTAGAATTCTTTATAGCTTCTTCTGGATTATCATTTTAGCTCTTGCAGCAAGGAAGCACAGTTAGGCAAACATAATTACCATCTTTTATGGTTTTCATAATGAGTGTGAAATTATTCTGGGGTACTATACCTAGAAATCTTTTATGTTATCAATTGCAATTGCACGTTCTTCATCGTGGTCTCTGTGCATCACACATATGGGTGGTGCACGTGTTACTGAGCCCTTAAACATGTAGTCCCATCTTCCTGGCAGGCTGTCTTGGTGGGATTATGTTGCAAACATTTCCAGGCATGGCCTTGAAAAACAATTTTTCATGGTGCTGACTGGTGTTCTTGTTCAATTTTCAACAGGTTTGTGAGTACAGATTTAAGAGCCCAGCTGTCTTCCTGGGTCCAACCTTATATCAAAGTTTATGAAAAATTTGGGCATGTGATCAGAGAGGTGTCTCATTTCTTCCGTACGGCACAACAAAGCGTAGGTATCAAGCAGCTAACAATGAAAGCTCCTACACTACACAGCATCTGAGCATTGCTTTCCATCTAGGATTTCAGAGGTATCCTTGGATCCTTAGATAATTTATTGCTAGCAATACTCTTAGTTTAGAAACGTGAGCCATTCTGCAGTTTCAAGAAGAGTAAATTTCTTTCTCTTGCACTTACCCCAAGTAAGTTTAACCTTTGAACGTCTCAGGATCCATGCCTTTGAGAGAGGACGTAGCTTCATGGCCGAACCTTTGCTTTGCATGCTGTCAGTCCAAGGTTTGATTCTGGGCCTCTCCAGAGAGATCTAGAAAGCAGTTCTGTCTACAAACCTGGCCAGTGGCTGCTGCCAGTCAGTGTCAACAGTACTAAGCTAGATTAGCCAGTGGCAGTTTCCAGTTTTCCTGTGTTTGGACCCGCACGTAGATGTGCCTGAAAGCATGTATGGGACATCTTGGACTTAGGACCAGATCTGCTGAGAATACCTATCTTAAAGATGTTTTGTTCTAATTTCAGGCCCCCAAAGTATCGATGCTCTGGTATGTTCATTTAACCTATGGAATGGCCTCTGTACTACTTCAGACGTTAATCCACTTACGGTGGAACCCCATGCATGCTTAGTAAAAGGGAAAAAATCCTGCGGCTCTCAGCCAGCAATGGCTTTAACTGCTTTTCTCTGTGCCTTTTCACAAAATTCCAGTTGGCCGTTGGAGCGACAGCATTGAGAATGGATGCGTTTTGATCTGATGGGGCAAGAATGTTTTTACCCAAATTCCAGGGCCAGATCGTCATTGGTCTGGTTCTCTCATTCAGCTTTGAGCAGAAGCGCAGGATTTAGGCGCTGCTGCAGCTAATGGCCGCTACGCTGTGTCTGCGTGCAGGTGCCGGTTCCGATGCCTCCCTTTCCTTCTTGCGCTGCTGTGGAAGAGGACAGAGATACTTCATCTTCTGCTTCGCAGGAGCAATTGCTTTCTGGAAGAAAAGCCAGCTGCTTAGATAACCACATGCCCAGTTTGAAAAGGAAGAGGACGGGTAAGTAGGTGCCTGCTCCCTCATCAATGAAGAGTGCTTTGCACAGGCTAAAAATAAATACATAAAAATAAATGCATAAATAAGACATTGTGTTTCCAGACAACAGGCAGTGCAGTGTTGCAGCAACCCACTGCGTGCAGTAAATCCAGTGCATATGGCATCATTTGATGAAGAAGGTTGTTTGCTGCATGAAAGCCTGGAAAATACTCCAGTAATGGTCATAGTTGTTTAGTCATAAAGTTGTGCCCAACCCATTACGACGCCATGACAGCCTTGGTCCAGGCTCTGTTAATGAAGGATGTGTTTGCCTGCTCTGACTAGAGAATTCTCATAAGACACAAGAGGTCTTGGTTAAAGCTGTTTGGCACAAACTTCTTGGTGGGATTTCCTTCCTGGGAGGCGCAGCGAGCTGGATACAGTGCGGGCGTGCCGTCTGCGTGGGATGGAGCACAGATTAAGCAGAGAGACAGCATTAGTGGCTTATCTAGATGTGAGCCTCTGGGGAGCCGGGGAGCTTAACTACGTTGCAGGGGTGGGCCAGGCTCTTGCCTCTTCCTGGGAGCCCCAGTTCAGTGCACTGGGAGGAAGTAGTCGGCTTGCTACTTCACAGCGAGGGGCAGCACTTGTCCGACTTCAGGCTGGATTTATGACCCAGTTGCCCACCGGGTATTAATCTAGAAAAGACTTCTAGTGAGCACACTTTTGAACACTAGCTATTTCACTCTCCAAAACAGAAGGGTGAATTGACTTCAGGGTCCTTCCAAGATATTCTTGCAGAACCTAAACTTGATGTGCTCCTCTTCCTGTAGCCTTAAGCAATCCTGAAATAAAAGAAATGAGTTAGGGCATTCAGAATTTAACTCCTGCACTTCTTGTGTCAGAGAACGGAACAGCCAGCCTATGTGTAGAGTATGATCAGGGTCCGACCTCCTCAAGAAGGCAGCCTGTGGGCCTCCTGGATGCCTTGGAGCTCAACGAGAGGAAGTCTGGGGAGGCAGATGAGGAAGACGGCTTGCCCGGAGAAGAGACGGTATGACCCTGACCCCTCTCAGGGAGCATGTTGTACCACATGGTGCTCCTGTTCAGTTCCGCTCATCGCTCAAGCTGCTGAGGTAACACGCGAGGGCCATCTCGTGCAGCACAGGACCTGGATGCCTTTGCAGCCGCGGATCTTTCACGCTGCAAAGACTCCTGTGGGACAGATGGGTGGACAGGTGTGCAGTTAATGTTTCTGTCATGTATGAATGCCTCGGCAAATTATTTGTATTCTTCGCCGTGCTCTCTTCACACATGTGGGTGCTGCGCCTGTGCAGTGCCTGTATCCGGGAAGATCCTCTCAGCTAGTAACATTTTTGGCAGAACGCCGCACCCCCTCGCCTCGTATAAATGGGCGGCATCCCCACCTTGTCACCAGTCCGCTTTCGATCGCTGTTCGCTGTGCCTTGGGTTCTCGCCTTGCTTTCGATTTCCCTCACGAACTTCTCCTTTATCTATTCAATCTTTTAAAATCTTTTTCTCCTTTTCCACAAACTTCTAGAATCCCATCTCTGTCACTAACTCCCTCCCTCACTTCCCCTTCCCTCACAAATCTCCTTAATCCCCTCACAGTTTTTTTTAAGTCTATCACCTTTTCTCCTTCGACAAGTTATGTGCATTCTTGCAGCCCATTCCATCACATACTTTCTCAGAGGCACTTCCCAAATTAATTAGTGTAGGAGTGCAGTCCTGATTTACCAGGCACAACCCTATCTGGGCAGGCAGAGCCTGGCGACTGTTATTCATACACTGGGAACCTCTAGTCTGGATTACTGCAGTGCCCTCTATGTGGGGCTTCCCTTGATGATGGCCCGGAAACTTCAGCTGGTCCAGAACACACAGTCGCAGTGGCAGGAGCTGCTCAGTGGCATCCTGCTTGAATCCTGCATTTTAGTTTTGAGGGCGATTGAACTTGGGCATTGGACTCCTACTCCCAGATTTTGGAACACGATTTTGATCCAGGAAAGAACATCCTGGGCATTCTCTGTTTGATCCAGATTGCTTTCCTGTTTGTGTACACATGCTGTCATACAGACATAAGCATAGCCATACCGGATCAGAGCCCTGGTCCGTCCAGCCCAGCACTCCATTCACACGGTGGCAGACCCGCTGCCCGCAGGATCCCTCCGGCAGGAGGGGCGCAAGAATCCCGCCTGCCTCAGCTCCTCAGCAGCAGGCACATGCAGGCATGCTGCCTCCGGTCAAGGAGGCGGCACATGGCCCATAAGGCCAGTAGCCACGGATCGCCTTCTCCTCGATGAATCTGCCCAGTCCCCTTTGAAGCCATCCAGATTGGCAGCCACCACTATTTTCTGTAGCTTAACTGTGCGTTGTGTGAAGAAGTACTTCTTTTTATCACACAAAGCAGGAGGAATGCTGATCGCATGACTTTTCAATGTCAGCCGTCTCTTATTTTCAAGCCCTTCTCAAAAATCCATCCGGTTCTTGTGCTTAGGTGCAAAAGATTTCTCAACTGATGAATATTCAGCTCAGCTTTTTTTTACAATGTCAGCATATTTTTTATCTCTGCTTAATTCCCCACCTTTGAATTGTAACCTAATCAGAAACTGTGGGGTTTCTTCTTAGCTATTTCTGCACCATCATTACCAGTTCAAGTAAAGAAATATTCAAATCAAATCTGGGGAATTCACTACCACTTGACCCTGAAGTATCAGCATTACTATCTAATGTGGGAAATCCCAAACATTCAGGGGTTGTGTTTCTATGAATCTGCACATTCTTAAGAGAGTGACTTCTCATTGCTCATTCCCCGTGTTCACAGATCTGTCTCCATTCAGCAAGTGACTTTCCAGAAACTCAAGCGATTTCTCTTGCGTCCTGTTTGACCCACTGAACATAAAAATGTATTCTGTGTCCTTGAATGATACCAGGCATGTTTTAATAAGCATGTTTAGGAGCAGAAGGTACTGCAAAAGGAAGGGAGAAGGTGGCATTAATGCTGTCATCCTTACAGGCAAAGCGTTTATCAACTTTATCCCTCCAGTATGAGAAAAGACTTCTGGATGAACAGAAAGGAAACAAGAAGAAGCTCAAGATAATTACCCATCTGGTATGTAGCAGGAGAACCTAGAATCAAAGGCCATATTTGGAATACATGCATATGTAAAACGGTTAGGTACCACTAAACTAGCAAGAAGTATTTTAATATACACATGTCAGTTTCTTTTACTCATTGTCCGCTGAAATGCACAGTTAATCAGCCTTCGGACTGCACTGTCAAATTTCATGGTTGCCCTGACATTCCTCCGAGATTCAGGAGTTAGAGAACACAACTCAGTGGCAGAATGTGTGCTTTAGCCGCAGAAGATCCAGAGCTGAATCCCTAGCATTTCCATTTTAAAAAAATGCAGGTAGCAAGTGATGAAAGCCACTGCATTTAGAATAGTCTTCGCAGGCTTAGCCACATATGGTTATTTCTATTTCACCTATTCTGGTATTTGCAAATCTCTGTGAGAGCTTCTGTGGAGTAGTTGGCATAAGATATACCCTTTTTGGTAAGTTATCTGCTACAAAAATGGGAAGCCGAGAGAGGCAGTCCAGCCTTTAGTCCCCATCTAGGCTGATTGAATTAGTTGCTACGTTGTTCTCATATAACTCCAGTCCTCCGTCAGCTCCACTGGCTCCCCATTGAAGTCCGGGCCCAATTCAAGGTGCTGGCTATCACCTACAAAGCCCTGAACGGCTTGGGACCTAGTTATCTAAAGGAGCGCTTGTGTCCATATATGCCCTCCCGCCCCTTGAGATCGGCGGCAGAGGCCCTTCTCCGGGAGCCCTCCGTGAAGGATATTAGGAGGGTGAGTACCCGGAGGAGGGCTTTCTCTGTGGTGGTGCCCAACCTATGGAATGCGCTCCCCAGAGAGGTCCTCCTGGAGCCGTCGTTATTTGTTTTTCAGCACCAGGCCAAGACCTTTTTATTTAAACACTATTTTAACTGTTAAGGTTGATTTGTTGATTTTAAACTGACCAGGCTGTTTCCATTATTTTATTTTACATATTTTATTTATTCGATGAATTTTTTTGTATTTATATGTGGGATTTTATGATCGTAAGCCACCCCGAGGCTTATGCGATGGGGGGAGCATATAAGCTGTCTAAATAAATAAAATAAATAAATGCTAAGTAGTCTTGGGTGGAGATAAAAGGGCTTTGGGATTTCATTTCTAAAAAGTGAGCATCTGGGAGAAATCAGAGAGGGAAAATTGCCCTTTTCTTTTTATTCTCTCTGACTTCTGCTCCCAGCTGAGCACATTCCTTTCCACATACACTGCAGTTTAAACTGTTTGCTTTGACCAAGCAAACTCGGTCCCTGACTCAGTTCCGCACAATTGCCACTGCCGCTGTGACCCACCGAAGTGACAGTGGGTTGTGGTATGTGCTGGCTAATGCTGGCAATTTCATGGATGTCCAGCTTCACAGCAAGCCTGTGGCACGGATAGCAAACCAGTCGGAATCCTAAAGTACCCCATGGGTTCTGGGCAGTTTGCTACCCACCCCCCCATCCCCGCCCTTTCCGGATTTGGGCAGCCTGTCATGGCCTGAATGTTCCAAATAGCCATATGCCTACACCACAGCCCTTGTGGCTTATTTAAACCATGGTATTGCAAACCAGCGAACTGTCTCTAAGCCCGATTTCCCTCTCCCCTTAGTTGGTCCAGGAAAAGAAGGGAAACCTCACTCTTTTCTTCATTCTTCATTGTTATGGAGAGGGAAGTAGGATCAGAGGTGCGTTAAAGGAATTTAACGCTCCTCGGCCTTGTTCTTTTAGCACTCTCTCTCTCTCTCTCTCTCTCTCTCTCCCTCTCACTTAAAGCAAGTACCTGATCCCTCAGAGCCCAAGAAAGCCAGGGCAGCGTCCTTCATTGCTGTAGTGAAGCAGTCCCTGAGCCAGCTGAACTTTGACACCTTCTCAAGGGCTCTCCAGCAGTACAAGAATACAAACGACTTCGACGCTATGTTATCACAGATGAGCGCACTCTTTTTGGAAGACCAGAAGAAGCACGTTCTGCTGCGAGGTATTCCAGCCGCGTGGACCTCTCCACTGGGCATCGCTGTTTTCCTTGCATGAATTACTATGATTATGATTAATGAGGAGGCTGCCGCATTCCTCTTACTATCTTGATTACAAAAGACAGTGCGGAAAGCTTCATTTGCATTTTTCTTCAGCTGTTCCAGCACAAAGCAGACGGGCTGTTCCTGACTGCTTGTTATGGAAAAGATCCAGGCTGTGCTTGCTTTGAGGCTGCTGTGCCGCTGATATGCTCTTGTGCAGGTTACTTGCTTTGCCCTAAGTCAGATGCAAGATACCTTTGTGCCTGACTGTGCAGGGGGAGGGAGGAGCCTGCTTGTGCAATTAAAAAGGTGCTACAGTCGGATCCTATTTACCTGTGGAGTGTTGTGCGGTGGCCACCATGGACCACTGCCTGTAATTTAAGCATTCCTCTTCCTGCACTGAAAACATAATGAAGTGCCGGACATCCTTCCTTCAGGCAGAAGTTATAGGGGGATATTCAGAGTCTTTCACGGGGGTGAACAGATTAAAAGAAATGTCATCCTAAATACCGGGCAGCCAAGGATAGTTCTCTTTTTGGTAATGCCACACAAAAAGAAGCTTTTCCTCCCGTGCCAGCAGTAGCTTGACTGCCCCAGGCTATGCTGCATTCCCAAGACACAGTGTCGCATCATGAGGCTGCATCCTTTGCGGAGATGTTGTGCCCCAGAAGCACCTGTGGCCAGCAGCCAAGCTGCCACTTGCACTCACGCAGCTGGGAAGGAGCCCCTTCGGCCTTTGGATCCACTGAGGGAAGCAGCAAGACCCTTTCATGGCTGCTGGGCTTGGGGAGGAAGAGGAAAGCACAGCAGGTATGCTTGTAAGATGGCACCAGTTTGCAGTGCGCCTGCCCCAAGGATTGGCACTCTCCTGCCATCCCGTCCCCAGAAATCTGTGCAATTTGGCTGGGATGACTACTTTGGCCCAGCGCTATTTTTTTTTAAATAGATAGATAGATAGAGAACTATGTAGGGGAGGTGGGCAAATTTCTCAGAACACAGCGTTCTTTGTCATGCTCTCCATGCATCAGACATACATGGGTGCTGCGCCTGCGCACTGCCTGTTGCCAGGAAGGTTTAAGAGCTTCTATGCCAAGGCATGTGGTGACGGCATATGAAAGTTTTGAATGAATGAATGAATGAATGGTTTTGGTGGGAACGCCACACCCCCCCATAGTATAAATGAGCGGAGTGCCTGCCCCCGCCAGTCCGCTCGTGACCAAAGTTCGCTGTGCCTTGGGCTCTTTTGCTTATCTCGCCGTCTTTCCTCGATAGCTTTTACTTCAATTACTTCGATTATCTTTTCGCTTTCTTCCCCCTCACAAACACTTTCATTCCCTTGTTTGTTCGCTTCCTTACTGAACCCTCTTGCAACTTCCCCCACAACTCAACCCTTTCCCCAGCAAAACAAAAAGAAATAAATAAACCAGTTACAGGTAAGCAACCTGCCTGTGTCTCAGAGTGTCCTACCAGTGCACAAATTTCCTCAAGATATAACTTTTCTTCTTCCTTGTCTCGTCTCGTCTGATTGTAAGAGTTTTACCAGTTTGTTCGGCCGCAGCACAAAAAGCAGTTTGATGAAGCTTGCTGCAGCTTGACTGGAGTGGGCTGTGGCTACAAGCCTGAGCACAGTCTTCTGCAGGAGGAGAGGCTACTGCTAGCAAAGAGAGCAGGTAAGATAAGCCCTCTCATTGTGCTGTCATCTCCGGCACAGTTTTGCCTGATTGAGTATACTTCCAGTAAAGTTCAAGAGGAGATCCTTTCTGCTGGAATGGGAGGCAGGAATAACCTCCCTAACCTCTTTCTAAGGAAAGGGCTTCTTGGCAGACAGAGATCTTGCTTTCTTTCCTCCCATTCCTGAGAAAAGCAATCTCTGAGAGGGTTTTTGGAAGAGGTTTTAAAAGCCACATTATATTGCATTAGACCTGGTGGTTTCTTTGCTCACATTGTGCCTTTCAGGCGACTTTAGTCAGTGTCTGTGTCTGGTTCCTTTTGGTGTTAGGAAAGCAATGTGAGAAGACAGTCAAGACTTCATCTGTCCAGCTTGACTCCGAGCAGCATTTGAACAGAGGAGGATCATACCTGATGTCTGAGTCAGGTGCCACAGGTATGCTTTGCACAAGGAAGTGCTGCAGAGGAGACTTACGTGGGGTCAAGCCAAGGCCTGTCCGGTCTGGGATTCTTGACACGCAGGATGATAATGGAACGAGGGGCAGAAGTAGTTTCAGTGCAATGACTTCAAAAAGGAAGCACACTGTTGCAGATTCATTAGGCTGGGGTTAAAATCATGAGGTTTTCTCAGGGTGTTTCTCTGTAAAATACTTTTTCTCTATGGGAAGGAAAAAAGGGCATGCATATTGTCCTCTGTCCTCGCCCCTCTCCTGCAAGAATCACCTGCACCTGCCTAAGTGAGTATTTATGAGCGTTCAGCTGCAAGTTATTTTTTTCTTGCATCTAGTCCTGGGGGTTAAGAGCTTCTTAAAGAAGTTAAGAAATTCTAGGCGCATTTCTCAGGGGAAAAATGGAATCGTTTCTTTTACTTCTTTTACCTACTTTTGCCTCAAAAGTAGGTCAAGAAAGGAGGCCATGTGCTGTTGAACAGTACATGTTAGCTGCCCTCATGCCTCTGGGCCCAATTCAAGGTGCTGGTTTGAACCTATAAACTTTCCATAGCTTGAGAGCATTGTGCCTGAGCGAGCACCTCTTCCAACTGCACTCTACCTGGATGCTATGCACAACATCCAGGGCCTTCCTCTGAGTGCCAACTCCAAGGGAGACTCGGAGGACAGCAACACAAAGGAGGGCTTTCCCTGTAGTGCCCCCCCCCGTCTTTGGGATGACCTCCCCACTGTGGCCCATCTGGTGCCAATGTTGTCATCTTTCTATTGGCATGTTAAGGCAGCTCTTTATGCCAAGTCCTTTAAAAATATACATGGATACCCAGGGACTTGAGAGGGCCTTACCCGTCTCAGGTGCTTTCCTTTACAGGATCATTCTTCACTGTATGTTTTAGCCGTTTAATTTTTTAGCGTTTATTTTGCTACCATGTTAGAGTTACCATGTTTTAAGGTATTTTATTGTCTCGTTTTTATGCCGCACAGTGTCTTCATGTGCTCTGCCACACATGTGTTTTTCAGGAGGAAGCTGTGCCGCCGAGTCCGATGAGCCCTCCAGGAAACCCCCCAGCTCTCTAAAGGAGACTCAGAGTCAGATAATTCGGTCAGCCTACCTCAGTGACCTCAGGACAGCTCTGGACAAAAGCAGTTTTGACCAGTTCTTTTCCGCGCTGTCAGCCTACAAGAGGACAGATGACTATGATGCCCTGGTGCCCGTGGTAGTGGCCCTCACCACCGAAAAGCCAGAACACCTTCATTTGCTCCAAAGCAAGTACCTGCCCACTCATCTTTAATGGTGGTTTGCTGACTGTACAGGTGTGCTCTCCCTGCTCAGGTGCAAAAGTCAAGTATCTGTAGAGGAGCCCCATCCGCGTGGCAGCAAGGAACACATTAGGCTGAGTGTTTCTGAACCTGCTGCCATTGCTCCGCTCACCAGGCCATGTGATTATTTGTAGAGCAACCCATGACTCACCTGGCAGACGGTCTGGCTTACCACGGTTGGTTTTCCCCCTCCTTCCTTCTCAGTCGTCTAGCCAGCTCCAGTAAATATCCCATTCACCTCTGCAGTAGTAACTGTCTTACCTCTTCATTCAGGCTCCTGTTTGCTGCCTGGCTGCTTCTTTTTTTGGGACTTTGAGGGCATGAAAATTGAGCCAAGTTGTTGTTCTATTGCACAGGTGTGCACATTCACTTGCTCAGCACACTGAGCCTCGCCTTGTTAATTTTCTCGAATGTTTCGGTTGCCAGAGAGGGAGTGCTGAAGTCAGAGCAGGAGGTGGGAGGACAACGTATGTCCTGCTTAGCAATTTAATCCTCTCCCGTGTGTTGAAATGACACTTAACCAGTGCTCTGCTCTCATTCATGCTTATAGTGAAGCAGCTGCTCTGAAAAAGTTCCCTCAGAGTGGTGGCAGGAAGCAAATAGCTCCCCATTGTGGGTCTGCTGGGGACTCCTGTACGCTGGTAAAAAAAAGGGGGGGGATAAAATATTTTTTAAAAAACCCCTGACTCGTCTTTGTACTCCCACAGGACTGACGTGTCTTTAAAAGGTGGGAAACACCTGATGATTCCTAAGTGCTGTGTGGACATGGCTGGTGCTTGGCGAGGGAGGCTGGAGATGGTGCTGGCCAGATCACAAAAAGTAGCGTGTGTTATTTTGTGGCCACCTCCACCAAAAGGCCATTTAGCCAGTCCCAGAAATTCAGCATTAAATGGCAGTCTTGGCTTCCAACAACACCCTGGGTACGAACATCTCTGCAATAAGCCAGGATTTCTCAGGGTGCTTGTTCACAAAAACCAGGCCACCTTGTGGAAAAGTCAGCCCATTCAGTAGACCCAGTGACCCACTGTGGCTTACTGCCGTGGAGGGTTGTCATGTCATGCAAACCTAGTAGGTACCTCTGTTCAGAAACGCTTTTGCCTCCTAAGCTGTATCAGGTTATTCTGAGTGCCTTACTGCCTAGCCCTAATAATTCATTCAGTTACAAAGAGGAAGCTATTGGGGGAAATACCTTGCCCTGCTTAAATAAAGGAGAACGCTGGTTCTAAGATTGTCAATTCCACTAATTGCCCATTAGTTCTAAGGGGAACGTTAAATAATGAGGCACATTTGTTCTAAGATTCTGTAGATTCCATTTATGTGCTAGTTAAGGATCTTCAAAATGTTACCTCCAGTTCCGTTAACCAAAAGGCAAAGACTTTTTATTTGGCCTGCCCATTTGGTAGCACTTCTAAAGTGACTATATCAAATTTAATTATGATAAATTTTCCTAATGCAGTATACATTTCCTTACATTGGAAATGTAAGGAAATCCTTACACGTAAGGATGTAATTGACGTGTCACCCTATGCTGCTCAGGATGCCCTGTGCCATCGAGTCCGTTCTGTGGAGCCGCATAGCATAGCTGCCAAGGCACAGAGCGAGAACCCCCAGCACCTCCTCCTGCAGTTGGCTATCCAGGTAGGGGCAGAGCACTGCAAGCTGGACATCTGATCCAGAAAAATACTGTGGTCGGTGATGTCAAATGCCACCAAGAGTGCTAGATTTATTGGACTTTATTCTGTCTAAATCATGCATAGGAGTGCATCTTAAGCTTAGGTTACATTCCTGTACCCACTTACCTGGGAATAAGACCCATTGCCTTCCGTGAGATTTATTTATTTATTTGTTTGTTTGGCTTTTTTATATGCCATCCCAGTCGCATAAGCCTTGGGACGGCTTCCAACATAGAAAATAAACAATCAATAAATCACACATATAAATATATAAAATCTGGATTCATCCTGGCTATAAAAGTATTAAACCAATAAATAACATTAATGATTATTAAAATATTGTTTGAATAAAAAGGTCTTAGCCTGGAGCTGAAAAACAAATAATGGCGGCGCCAGGCAGACATCTCTGGGGAGCGCATTCCATAAATGGGGCACAGATTTAATTCTGTGTAGACATGCAACTAAGATTGTACTCCTAGTTCCTTAACCATGACTGAAGCAATTTTAGCTATGTGGTATTTCATTAAAAGGGTCAGGAGGAAAGGTGTGGGTGGGATGGAAATAGATTGTGCAAAGCAGCTTTCAGGACATGCCCATAGCAAAAAGTTCATATCAAACACATCATAAGCAGCTGTGATTCAAAACTGAAACTGTAATTTTGACAGTCATCCAAATACTACATTTCTCTGCCTCCAAGCAACTAATGGGGGATTAATAGCAGTTTACTACAGTTTACAAGTTTTGCCATTTGCCTTTATAGTTCATCTTATTTCTTCATTTCAAAAACAATTGTCTTCAAAGTTCAGCCTGTCTGATTTTAATTGAATGGCACAACCATCATATGACAGCTGGAGAACTGAACAGACAAAAAATTGAGACCAGACCAGAGAGGTTCTTTTTTCTCTGTGCTGCTTTGAATTGATTTCAGATGTTGAAATAATAAAATATCCCCTTGCACAACAAGAAAGTATCACAACAAGCTGGCTCCAGTAAGGTATGTGTATCACGATTGTGCGTATCCAGAAAATGTCACAACAAGCTGGCTCCAGTAAGGTGTGCGTATCACGATTGTGTGTATCCAGAAAATATCACAACAAGCTGGCTCCAGTAAGGTGTGCGTATCACGATGGTTGTCTCCATTTACAGGGTTCTCCATGTTTGTGCGTCCCCATCACAAGAACCAGTTCAAACGGATGTGCAAAGAGCTGACTGGAATGAATTGCCCATGTGAAAGCAAGGAGGTTTTCTTGCCAGCGCAGAAAGGGCTTGGATTGGGAGGCCCTGTGGAAGAGAGTGGAATTCAGGATAAAGCTGCCAGCGCGATCCCAGGTTGGGGTGTTTGTTTTGCTAGAGTTTCCATGCTTCCTTTACAGTGCTGCTCTCTTAATTTGGAGGTGTATTTGAGATTCAGAGGACAACGCAGTTCATAAAAGAACAATCTCTGTTCTCCTGCTCCTTCCAAGGAGACCAAGACAACGCTTTCTAGCTAAAAAGTTTTATTATATTACAGGTGATGTGCTAGGCCAGCTCTAAAGTAGAAATTAGGGATGTTGTAGAAGTCAGTAACAAGAGCAACAGGCAAAGTTTTAATACTGATCATTGGAGAAAAATGGCTGGATGATAAGTTGATTCCAAGTGGAATGCCCTTCCTCCATTAATACTCCCCATCCCTCCGACTCTCAATCTCTTGCCTTTGTCAGATTTTCTGTTCTTTGCATCCAGCCTGGTATTGGGTGTCATTTGCGTCAGCACAGCTTAGCCAACAGGTCTAGGAAAACAGCCTGGAAAGGGTTAGGATATCCCTCACCAAAGAAATCTACTGCAAATTCTTGTTGTCCTTCAGAAAAGTAGGAAGGCAACTGAAGGAGTTGGTGCAAAACGTATTTTACTTTCTGTTGCAGGAATTGGTCATGACAAAGAAGGAGCTAGTTGCAAGAGAGTTTCGACTGTTGGGCAGTATAGAAATTAATTAAGTGCGGGTGCTTGACAAATATACTCCTTGACATTTCTGATATAAATTGACATGAGTTGCATCTCCCAGATTAGCCTGAAGATTGGAATGCTGTTATCCTTTGGATTTGTCACTTTCCAAAATTTTGTAATGAAGTTCTCAGCACAATTTTGAGATAAAAAAATCTGAAGAACAGAAAAAACCAGGAGTGGTACTTTTTCCCCTGGTTGTCCGGGCACTATTTTGTGTCAGGGCTTAGAATCATCCCAGCCCCCTGCTCAGGGTAGGACCCCAAGTTAACCCATCCCTCTCAGATGGCTGGCCAGTAGCACCTTGAATGCCCGCAGTGTGGGAAAGCCCACCACCTCACCAGCTCATCGATTCCATTGTCAGATTGCTTTACCAGTCAGGAAGTTTTTCCTGATCTCTAGCCAGCACCTGGCTTCCTGTAACTTGAACCCATTATTCTGTGTCCTGCACTCTGGGACGATCGAGAAGAGATCCTGGCCTTCCTCATTGTGACAGCCTTTCAAGTACTTAGAGTGCTGTCGTATCACTTCTTGAGACTAAACATGCCCAGTTCTGCCAATCTCTCTTTGGAGGGCTTTGTTTCCAGTCCCTGGATCATCCTTGTTGCCCTCCTCTGAACCCTTTCCAGCTTGTCTACATCTTTCTTAAACCACGGTGCCCAGAACTGGACACAGGACTCCAGATAGGACAGTGCTGAGTAGAGGTAAACTAGTACTTCTTGTAATTTGGGAGTTATACCTCTATTAATGCAGCCCGAAATAGCATTTGCCCTTTTTGCAGTCACATCACATTGTTTACTCATATTCAGCTTGAGACTGGCAACAATTCCAAGATCTCTCTCTCTTGTAGTATTGTTGAACCAAGGAGGACGATGCCTTTGCATGGAACTGTTCTGTAATTCCTGTAACTGAAGATAAGTTAGACAGATACGGTAGCTTCACACTGCAGGAATGTCCCGAACATCTCTTGGTGATGAGTGGAATTCCCTCTCGCATGCCGTGCATGCATTTGCTGTGTAAGACTGGTTCTTGATGTATCGCCACCAGAATGAAGAAATCATGATCAATCACAAAATCGGGCCCAACGCTTCCCGTATACAGTCCCAAAGCAACGAAGCCTGCTCAGGGTCATGAACTCACTTTTTTGGAAGAGTCAGGAGACCCCTTGCGGTCATTTAGGTTAGTCTCACCCACCATAGGAGGGGGGCAGCTTGTGCCACGGAGTTCTATATGTGTGCTTGTTCAAACGTTCTTGTGAAATATCTTTTGCAGGCTTGTACGGGAGCAAGGAAGGGGAAAAGTTTCAAAGAACAGCCTCTCCTGCAAGTGACTCGGAAACACAGAAAACCGAGGGGGGTCCCAGCAGTTCTCGAGCCCCAACAAATTCTGACAGCCTACCTATCTCAGCCGTAGGTGGTAGGTATATGCACTCCTGGTTTTAAAAAGGACAAAAAATCCATGGCTCAGTGGCAGACTCCACCTGCACCAGTTCACAGATGCGTTGTATTTCCTCTCCCATCATCTCCCAGTCTTGCTAGCTGGGACTGTGGGAGTTGCCTCAGACATACCTGGAGGACACCAGGCGGGGGGTGGGGGGGAGACTACAGCTGATTGTAGTGATGCAGATGGGCTGATGGCCGCACTGAACGTGGGGTTTAACTTTAAACCTCCTAAATTAGTATGGGTCAGCTTCGTAGGTTCATGTGAAGAAGATACTCCAGGCTCACCACCTGCTGGTCAGAGTGAAATTCGGGCAAAGTGCACCTCGTTTGGCTAGCGTTTCTATTCTTGCAGTCTGTTTTCTTCCCTTAAACACATTCTTCCTCGTGTTTTATATTTCTGTTCCTATTTGTGGCAGTTTTATAATGGTTCTTAAAACAAGCCAGAGCTTGTACTGCATTTCAGGAAAGGGTTTGGAGAGAGGTGCAGATGGGGAGCAGAAGGAAAAGGAGAAAGAAATTCTTCAAGATGACGATTGAGCAATGTGCCATCATTGTAACACGACTGTTCCTTAATTTTCCCACCTTCTAAGACATGTGGCCCACACGTTTTACAACTGGTTTTCAGCTGGATCCACTTTGGGCCGTGCTCATCTTCCCCTGCTGGTGTTCTTCCTTGCCTAACAGCTGGTGGGTTTTGTTCCACTGCCTGATGGATGATGCCAGAGAGTCCTTCCTCTTTGCTTCTGCAGTCCCAGCGCACCTGGCAGTTGGAGCCAAGCGGGGCCTTTCTGGGTCGCGGTGGGGAAGCTCCCCATCACTTTGGCTTCTCTGGGCTATGAACTGTGTTTGCCTTTCTCTTGCCCTGATGTTCTTCCTGAGACATGAAGCATACATTTTCTCAGTGATTCTAGGTCCCCGGCTAGTGACGGAGACCAGAGCGGGTTTCTTTTCTTCTCTGCAGCCCCAGAGCAGCTGTAATATTTAAGGATATTAAGTCTTGCTGCAGCAGGTATATGTATTTCCACTCCATAAGAAGGCAAAAAAAAAAAATGTTCAAGGTCAAAGAGACAAATGCGTCAGCTTTCTCCTTCCCTCTCTCCCCCTTTCTTCTCTACATTAGGAGGATTCCTGTGTGTAAAATGCGAATCTGACGGTGGTGTGCCTTTAAAGTGCCAGTTGTGTGCCTTCACGTGTTGCAAAGCATGCTGGGAGAGTCTCCTAAAGGTCGGCTTCGCCTTTCCAAGTTTTGGTTGCCTCTTTCCTCAAGTCATGATCATGTGGAGTATGGTTCCTTGTTTACTTTCATGACAGCTGCCAGCAGGCTGGCTCTGTAGCATTGTAACACAGCTGTTCTTTAATTTTCCCATCTTCAAAGACCCGTGGCCCACACATTTTGCAAGCTGTTTTCCGCTGAGCTGCTCTTGCACCTTTTCTCTGTCAGAAAAGGTGTTTTTCTTTTGTGGTTGCTTGAAACCTCAGGCTTCTCATGTCATTAAAGGGAGACAGATAATCACACAAAAGCCGGGTCTTCCGAATGTACAAATAGCATTGCTTGCTCAGCTTTATTGAGGGGATTGCCTTGCAGAGAAAGACAGTCTGCTGTCGTCTTTGTTTCTGGGCATGAGCTTATGTCCTAGTTGAAAGCACACAAGTCAGGCTAAATATTACATGTGTCACCAGTCCACCCACTCACATTATTTTAAGATTCTGCAAAAAAGGGTTTTCAAAAATCCACATTCTGATTTTGGACAGAAGGGACCTATGCAGATCAGTCTCACAGTTCCGTGCAGAGAGTCACGTAAATGTGCTGCAGATTCCTGTGCAGGCAAGTCCAAGTTCTTTTTTGGCCGCTGTCAGTGTTCCAGTTATGAAGGGATATAGACAACAGTGTACAACTAACAGGCAACACTTTTTAAGTGTGCTTACTGTTGCACAGTCCAGGGCGTGGGTGGCAGGTGACTGTAGTCAGGGTGCTGGGAGCAGGGTGCACGTGCAGGGCTTAAAGGGCCAGAGGCGGGCATGTCTTTGAACAGTCCCAAGTCAAGAGCCAGTGAGAGAGGAAGGTCCAGCTCAGGGACACAGCCCAAGGGTCATGTGCAGTGGTACCTGGGCAACCAAATCGGGCCGTGCACAAAAATTCCATGAAAATTTTGATGTGGGTTGCGAACTCCGCATTGGGCGGCGAACAAGATCGCTGCTATCTCCCCACCCCCCCCCGAGTGGGGAGATGGCCGCGATCGTGCTGGGGGCGGGGGCTGGAGATGGCCGAGATCGCGCCCGTCTCTCTCTCCCCCAGTGCGCCCTCGATCGTGCCCTTCTCTCCCCCTCCACCCCCGCGGCCTGGATGATAGGCACGTGCAGGGATGACAGGCGTGATCTCAGTCGTGCTGGAGGGGCGGGGAAATGGACACACCTGTGCTCGGGGTGGGAGGGGGAGATGGCTGCCATCTTTGTTGCTCTTCGTCACTTTGCTTCACATTTTTCTGCTTAAAAAAATCAGAAGTTCCATAGTTCGCCAGAAAGGAGCTGCCGCGACCAAAGAGCAGCGACCACAGTGCAGGATGCAGTATCATTTGCTTGAAAATACAAATAAGCCACCTGGCAGACCGTTGAGGCAGATGGCCCTGCACTGGTTTACATTAGAAAACACATGTTTGTGCAACCTTGACTGTGTATCTGCTTGACAGTTTCAGAGCAGAGATCCAAGAAATTACAACCCAGTTAATACCGGTTCTGGAAGCCACCTCAACCCTGACAATGAAGTACAAGGGACCCCATATTTTATGCAGAAAATGCAGTTAACGTAAGCAGTCCCCAGGTTCTGAATGAGTTCCGCTCCCGAGAAAAGGGGAATTCATAAGTCGATATTGTATGTGAGTCAGATCATGTATAGACAGCCCTCCACATTTGTGGGGCTTGCAGCACAGGACCCCTGTAAAAGTGGAAAGGCTGCAAATATCGTGAGCCCCTTCCCATCCAAAATCACAAGCACCTCCTCTTCAAAACAAGGAAATGCAGGAGAGGTTTCCCTCTCTGGATGTGCAGAACAGGAAGGCATGTTTTAGAGGACTTTCCTCTGTCCCGTTTCACTTCCTATCTGTGGTGATGATTATCCACGGTAATTTTTTTAAATTAATGGAATTTATGACAGTTCATTTGTAAACACGGGTTATTCGTAACTCGGGGACTGTCTCTATAATGAATGTGTAATTGTTGTGCTGTTTCTAAGGAGAAGCTCCCTTGTCAGGGTTTTTCCTGAAAAGTATTAAGTAAACAAGTGTTTTCCATATAGGTGTCATTTGACTTCTTGGAAATAACACATCACTTTTTCTGGTAAGATAAAGCAGAGGGAAGTGCCCTCAAATGCATATGACGAAGCAGCATGGTAGTTTGGACATATGACAAAAAGCAGCTGACATTTTCTTGGAGGTGAGGTGTTTGACTAGAATATCACAAAGGCAGGGAGGCAACAACCTCCGTAACCTGAACCTAGAATTAGGGGTGTTACGCTCTTCCGGGAACCTAATCCTCTTCTGTTCGTTGGACTTCATTTGCTTGGCCCTCACTCAGGAAGAAAACTGATGCAAGAGGAAGGCCACAAACACTTGCAGGACTCCATGTACCCAACTGGCAACCTTCTTCCACACCAAGTGCAGCACAAACAAAGCCATAAATTCCATGCACAGAAGAGGAACTCTGCTTGCTCGCTGTGCATGCGGGACTTGATTCCTAGCAGGTGTCTGCATGGATGCTCAGCACTCCCAGCACCGATTCAGACGCATGGCCATCAGAAAGTGGACCAGAGTCTGGGGAACAAGCCGTGGCAATCCCACAGATGTCCCCACCGTCCCGCCATAGTGGGGGTGCCTCAAACATCCCTCCCGAAAATTACAGGAAGTCATTTATTAACCTGTTACACCTTCAGCGACGTTTTGCTTTTTCATTGCCTTGACTGGAATTACAAATGAGAAGCCGGAAGTAACTTGGGGGTTTTCCACAATTGGCCAAGCGCTCCTTTCGTGACTTTTGCATTTCACCTCGTTTTGTAACATAGCTGCCTTGTTGTTGTTGTTGTTGTTTTTGTTTCTATAGTGCCCCATAGGGCAGCGCACACGACTTCATAACAGGTACAAAGGGGCTTGCGTAGCGCAATGAAGCTATGAGCCATGCCGTGCAGGGCCACCCAAGACGGACAGGTCACAGCAGAGAGCTCTGGCAAAACGTGATCCACTGGAGAAGGAAAGGGCAACCCACTCCAGTACCCTTGCCATGAAAACCCCATGGACAGTACCAAAAGGCAAAAAGACATGACGCCGGAAGATAAGCCCCTCAGGTCGGAAGGTGTCCAATATGATACTGGGGAAGAGCAGAGGGCTAGTACTAGTAGCTCCAGAAAGAATGAAGCGACTGGGTCAAAGCCGAAAGGGCTCTCCGTTGCAGAAGTATCTGGTAGTGAAAGGAGAGTCCAATGCTGCAAAGATCTATACTCCATAGGAACCTGGAATGTAAGATCCATGAATCAAGGCAAGCTGGATGTGGTCAAACAAGAGATGACAAGACTGAACATCAACATCTTAGGAATCAGTGAACTAAAATGGACAGGATTGGGTGAATTTAATTCAGATGACCATCAGGTATACTACTGCGGGCAAGAATCCCTCAGAAGAAATGGAGTCGCCTTCATAGTCAATAACAGAGTAGGAAAAGCAGTACTGGGATACAATCTCCAAAATGACAGAATGATCTCAGTTCAAATCCAAGGCAAACCATTCGACATCACAGTACTCCAATTTAAATAAAAAATTTCAACCTAAAAAAAAAAAAATTTTCAACCTATGCCCCAACCACTGGTGCTGAAGAGGCTGACCAGTTCTATGAAGGCCTACAACACCTTCTAGAATTAACACCAAAAAATGATGTCCTGATCATCATGGGGGATTGGAATGCTAAAGTAGGAAGCCAAAAAATAACTGGAATAACAGGCAAGTTTGGCCTTGGAGTACAAAATGAAGCAGGGCACAGGCTGGTAGAATTTTGTCAAGAGAATACGATGGTCATAGCAAACACTCTTTTTCAACAACCCAGACGGTCAACAGAGAAATCAGATTGACTATGTGCTCTGCAGCCAAAGATGGAGAAGCTCTATACAATCAGTAAAAACTAGACCAGGAACTGACTGTGGCACAGATCATGAGCTTCTGGTTGCAAGATTTAGGCTTAAATTGAAGAAAGTAGGGAAAAGCACTAGGCCACTCAGGTATGACCTAAATCATAACCCTGATGAATATACAGTAGAGGTGACAAATAGGTTTAAGGAATTAGATCTGATAGACAGCGTGCCTGAAGAACTATGGATGGAGGTTTGCAACATTGTACAAGAGGTAGCAACTAAAACCATCCCAAAGAAAAAGAAATGCAAGAAAGCAAAATGGCTGTCTGAGGAAGCTTTACAAATAGCCAAGGAAAGAAGGGAAGCAAAGGGCAAGGGAAAAAAGGAAAGATACACACAATTGAATGCAGAATTCCAGAAAATATCTAGAAGAGATAAGAATGCCTTCTTAAATGAACAGTGCAAAGAAACAGAAGAAAACAATAGAATAGGGAGGACCAGAGATCTCTTCAAGAAAATTGGAGATATGAAGGGACTGTTTCATGCAAAGATGGGCATGATAAAGGACCAAAATGGCAGGGACCTAACAGAGGCAGAAGAGATTAAGAAGAGATGGCAAGATTACACAGAGGAAGTATACAAGAAAGAGCTTAACATCCCTGATAACCACGATGGGGTGGTCACTGACCTCGAGCCAGACATCCTGGAATGTGAAGTCAAATGAGTCTTAGGAAGTCTGAGCAACAACAGAGCTAATGGAGGCGACAGCATTCCAGCTGAGCTATTCAAAATCCTAAAAGATGATGCAGTAAAAGTGCTACACTCAATATGCCAGCAAATTTGGAAAACTCAACAGTGGCCACAGGATTGGAAAAGGTCAGTTTACATTCCCATCCCAAAGAAAGGCAATGCCAAAGAATGTTCAAACTACTGCACCATTGCACTCATTTCACATGCTAGGAAAGTTATGCTCAAAATCCTACATGCTAGGCTCCAGCAGTATGTGGACCAAGAACTACCAGAAGTACAGGCAGGATTTCGAAGAGGGAGAGGAACTAGAGATCAAATTGCCAACATACGCTGGATCATGGAGAAAGCTAGGGAGTTCCAGAAAAACATCTTCTGCTTCATTGACTATGCTAAAGCCTTTGATTGTGTGGATCACAACAAATTGTGGCAAGTTCTTAAAAAGATGGGAGTACCTGCCCATCTTATTTGTCTCTTGAGAAACCTATATGTGGGTCAAGAAGCAACAGTGAGAACTGGACATGGAACCACTGATTGGTTCAAAATTGAGAAAGGAGTTTGGCAAGGCTGTATGCTGTCACCCTGCCTATTTAACTTATATGCAGAGCACATCTTGAGAAAGGCGGGCCTAGATGAATCACCATTTGGAATTAAGATTGCTGGGAGTAACATCAACAACCTCAGATATGCAGATGATACCACTCTCATGGCAGAAATTGAAGAGGTACTAAAGAGCCTCTTGATGCAGGTGAAGGTGGAGAGCGCAAAAGTTGGCTTGAAGCTCAACATTAAGAAAACTAAGATCATGGCGTCCAGTCCTCTCACTTCCTGACAAGTAGATGGGGAAGAAAGGGAGGTAGTGACAGATTTAATTTTCCTGGGCTCCAAGATCACCGCAGACGGAGACTGCAGCCAAGAAATGAAAAGATGCTTGCTCCTGGGGAGGAAAGCTATGGCAAATCTAGAGAGCATACTAAAAAGCAGAGACATCACCCTACCAACAAATGTGCGTATAGTCAAGCCTATAGTTTTCCCAGTTGCAATGTATGGCTGCGAAAGTTGGACCATAAGGAAGGCTGAGCACCGAAGGATTGAGGCCTTTGAATTGTGGTGCTGGAGGAGACTCCTGCAAGTCCCTTGGACCGCAAGGCGATCAAACCGGTCAGTCCTAGAGGAGATCGACCCTGACTGCTCTTTAGAAGGCCAGATGCTCAAGATGAAACTCAAATACTTTGGCCACCTAATGAGAAGGAAGAACTCCCTGGAGAAGAGCCTAATGCTGGGAACAATAGATGGCAGAAGGAGAAGGGGACGGCAGATGAGGTGGCTGGATGGGGTCACTGAAGCAGTTGGTGTGAGCTTGAGTGGACTCCAGGGGATGGTGGAGGAGAGGAAGGCCTGGAGGAATGTTGTCCATGGGGTCGTGATGGGTCGGACACAACTTCACAACTAACAACAACAAAGTAAAATATAAATAGCAAGGATCAGTTATGAATGCAATTCCTATACACAATTTAAAACAGTTTAAAAAGCTAAAATTTTTAATAAATCTAGGCCGCTTAAAAGAGCTGCCATGTCCTGTCACATGCCATTAAATCCCTGGGACTAGTGAACAGTCTTAACCTGGTGCCAAAGAGAGGACCAGGCAGGCTTGAATGAGGAGCTGGTTCCATGGTGTGGGCTGAGAGGGGAACACACCTGCAAAAGCACCTTCCCCTGAGCTTCTCTTGGAGATGGTACAGAGGGAGGCCACAGCTTTAGATCACAATATCCAAGTGCGTTCAAGCCCGAAGAGGGTTCTGTCAAGTCTTTGGTGAAAGAAATGATTCCGAGATCGTTGACTTGCCTGTACCTGGTGGCTCGCCTCTGGCTGTGGATCTTCAAATGGCCACCGGTGAGTGTGCCTAAGGCGCCAGCCCCCTGCCTGGATTTTGTGCCTTCTTGCATTCCTCTCCTGCAGTGGACTTGCACTGCCAGAGCACCTGCAGCGGAGGCGGGTGATCCCGCCACTTAAGCGCTGTTGTCTGTGCAGGCACCAGCGCCAGGTGGGAGGGCTCGCCGGTGACCTTCAAAGAACCCCTGTTGCAGATAAGCCACTTGTCCTTCTAGTTGTGACCTCATTCCTTGCAGTTCTCTTTGCAAGGAGAAATCTGACAGTGTCAAATCTTCCTGATTCTGCTGTCCTTATGTAACCCTAACAACACATGTACACACACACCTCCACTTTTGGAAGCAGAATACACTTAGCAAATGTTGTGTGTGAATATGCCCATATGGATGATCCAGAGATCAACATTGGCGTGTCAAGTGCAATATGAGCTGCTGGGAGGATGGCCTTGGTGAAATACTTCCGCATTAAATCCACTCTGAAAGAATTTGCTGCTATAAAAATGGGACTGCCAACTAGTGTGGAACTTTTCTGTTGCTTTCTCCCCATCCCAGGTTGCCAAGAAGTGTCCAAGATGCCAAGCTGATACCAAGAGAAGGCATTTGGCTCTGTCGTACTGGCCTGATCCCCAGTGAGAGACATGGGACATGGACAGTGCCTGCTGCGTAACCCCGGACATACTTAGCCAGCCTGTGGGAAGGAATCAAAGTCCACTTTTGCTCTAATCAAACATTTTCTATTCCGGACTGCTTTGCCTCTCTCTGTCGCCTTCCTCTTTGCTGAAGTTTGTCTGTCATCAGAACTCCAGTGCACAGGGGAAGATGAGAGAAAGCGGGACAGTCTTTTGGATTACAATTACCCAGCTATTTTAAAGCACGTAACACTTTTCTAGTTTTCGGTCCCTTCAGGATGACAGTTTAAACCAAAGGATTACAATTGGGTCCTTTTCAGTGACGCCAAGTCCTGCCGATCCTGTTTATCTTCAGCTTGTTCGAGAATGTATCAAAAGGGCTGCATAAACATGCCAGCTATGTGATTTGGCCTGGACAAACCTTCTTCTCTGCATAGCTCTCACTCTTCGTGATTTTGTCAGCATTGTTCACGTGTTCATCATTCAGGAATTAATGTAAAGCCTTCATGCAATCGAAGCAGCTTGGCCTCCCATGGGATGCTTGTAGAAGCGATGCTGTCAGTTTGTGGGTAGCAAAGAACAACTGAATTGGTTGCACAAGCTGAGGAGGTCAGGGCTGGCTGCTTCTAGAACAAGAGTTTTTAAAAAATCAGATGCAAAACTCCAAAGAAAGTTGATCATGTGCTCCTGGAAGGTAGCGTGTGCTCTTGTTTGGCTGAATGTCGTCTTGAGCCGTCCTGTGTTCATCCAGGCCTCTAGTCATCTGTACTTTTTTTTACTGAAGTAAGAAATTGTGTCAGTGTCCAAAAGTGGATACTATGTGGTCTTGAAACTATTAAAAATAAAATCTGTTTGAATTTGTGTAATGAGTGCGATGCATATAGTCATATCCATGTCAGCAGCATGTCAGACACTACATTTCCAATCCCAGGGATGCTGACCGACAACAAACCCACTCACTGAGAATTGGGACATAAGAGGTTTATATTTCACAATCTTTTGTTTTATTCATTTCAGCATGAGAATCTCATGGTCATCCTTTAGTAAGGAAAGGGTGCATGGCAAAGCAAAGCAAGTTTTATTTTGGTGTAACAGTTTATTTCAAATGTATGCAAACCGTTCTGTAGAATTGTTTTCCTTGGGAAAGAAAAATGCACATGGGAAGAAGTATATTGTATTTGAGGAATAACAGACTCTGACATTCATTACAACAAATACGTAAAATAAGGACGGGCCAAGATAGTCATTTCCAAATATGTGGAAGTATTCCCTGCAGAGGAGATGTTGTGGATTTGGCAGATGCTGAGTGTTTTCCATTATAGTTCAGATGTGCAGACATCTCTGGCTTCCAGTTAACCACTTCAAACGAAGCATATACAAAATTGGTTCTAGACAAATTCAATTTTGGCTTTGTATAGTAAGGATTAGGAAGTAATCCTATGGCCCAAGATAGCAATCAGAGGGGTGATAAGATAATGTGGCTCTGGAAACGAGAGCACCCCTCTCCCCCTCACGGCCAAAGGGAGTGGTAAACACTCCTGTGCAGGAACGATACTGATTATTCAGACCTATTTTTAAGGTAGGATTTCTGAGGGATTTATTTATTTATTTGCCCAGGGCGGGGGGAAAATGCTACTTAAAAAAACCTGTTATATTTATATCCCACCTTTTTTCCTACGTGGTACCTAGACAGCTGACATAATTCTTTCCATTTTATTCTTTCCACAACAACCCTGTGAGGCAGGCTAGGCTAAGAATCAGTGACTGGCCCAAAGTCACCCAGTGGGCTTCCCAGACACGTGGGGAATAGAACTTCAGTATCCCACATCCTGGTCTACGAATCTCACCACTCTGCCAGTTCGTTGCCTGTGGGTAGCTCCCCAACTTTGACTTCCTCTTCAACATCCTCTATTCCACCTGCTGATCAGTTTCTTCAAGAACTTCGGATCTGACATCTGCTTGTAGCCAAAGAAACATTTAAAGCTTTGGCAGGCGGAGTCGGCCACGATGTCCTCTTCAGGTTGATCGAGCATGGCTGTCTACTCATCATATCTCCATCACGGTACCATGGTGAATATGTCCTTTTTCATAATTGCCCTTACCAAGCCAGTCTCCAGTTGGTTGCAGTGACCTCCTCCGATGCACGTCCACCAGTATTCCATTCATCTCGCTTTCTCGGTTCCTGCTACACCAACCATCCTTACCATCACCATTCAGCCCCACCTCCTCCAGTCATAATACCTAAAGAAGAAGAGTATGAAGTAGACCAGGCCTCGGATTCCTGCTCCCTTTGTGGCTGCCTCCAGTATCTCATCAACTGAAAGGGTTATGGTCCTGAGGAGCCTTCATGAGAGAAAGCCTGGAAGGTCCATCAGTTCCACCATCGTCAACCAGAGAAACTTGATCCTCCAAATATGTCTCCAGACTCCTACTTGGGAATCTAAATGACCCTACTCCCCCCATGTGTTGTCTAGGAACCATAGGACTCTTGCTCTTGTTCAGATGGACTTGTTGCCCATGAAATGATGGCACTGCTCATTCCCACCAGAGCTTCTGCTAACAATGCTATTCTACTTTTAATGCCTATATGCTTAGGTTTCTGGAATTACTCACAAAGGGAGCAGCATTTTTCACCCACTGCTCTGCTCAAAGTTGAAAAAATTGTTCCAATTGTTGGATCTGTCCTCACCCACCCCTTTACAAGACTGATGTTTCACCAAGAAATCCATGACTTCTCTAGAATTCAAGATTGCTCAAAAGCAGTTTAACCTCTCAGAACAGCAAATCTTGAAATTAACTACTCCAGAAATAACGCTGATTGCAGAAATGAGATTAGTCACTACAGCTCCGAATTGTTAAGCTGGGCCTAAATGTGCTGATCAAAGGAAGGCTTTGCAGGAGGAGGAGGAGGTCAAGTTGGAGTTCAAATGTGGTTTCTGCTGTTGAGCCCACTGGTGGTTGTAGCTCTTGCCACCCGCAAAGCTTGATAGTGACACTGGCTTGTGCAAGCTGGCCTGAGACCTCAGTAAAGGATGGGGTAAAAATGCCATATATAAAGTAGTGCTGCTCTTTAACTCTGCTTTTTACTAGCCTAAGGAATGTCATTCTGACGTTACTTTATTCCAAGAAGCCTTACTTGCTGATTAGCCCCGTTTTAACGTCATCTTTTTTGTAATGTATTGCTTTTATTCTTTTCTCTGTTTCATCTATTTACCATACACTGCTTCAGTATCTGCATAGCAAGATACAGATATTGTATCATAGATTGTATTTGTGTAAATAAAAATGTAATACAAATACAGCTCAGAGCAGGTGCATTTAGCTTGCAGGGGAGCTGCATCTGTCCATTACAACACCGAGGAGTGGTACAGAGTAGCAACCTAATGCCATGCTCCGTTTTATTTCCCTCTCAGTACAGCCTGTGGGGCAGGGCTGGGTGCATGCGCTGTGCGCCTCGTGCAGCTGCCTGCTGCAGCGTGTAGCTGGATGTCAGGGTTGCCTCTGCGCGCCAGCTGCCGAAGCGTGCCTGCCGGGTTCCCATGTGGATCACCTGATCTGCGTACTGAGTCCCACGCAGCTGTTCGCTAACAGAGGGCATTAAAGGAAAGATGGGAGGATGACGTGTCACCTCTGAGCAGAGGCGGAGCCAGGGCAGCCCCTTCTGATGCTGTGTTCCTACTATGCAAGGGCAGAAAGTCTCTCACTATCAGTACTCTGTGTTTCCCCTCTCCAAGTCAATTACCTCTTTTAGCATGACAGTGCAACCTTTAAAAGGAAGTGACAGGTCATACCTATCTCACTGCTTAGGTTTCTAAAAAGAAACACTTCGGGGGAACTAGTGACAGAATCTTGGTTTTCAATTTGTGAGGAGGAAATAAAAACTTGGGTTTAAACCTCCGCTGCTTTCTTGACATAAGCCCAGGTTCCCTGCAGGTTTTACTCATGATAATGCAATACCGGGCAGAGGCAAACTCAGCTGCCAGGTTTCAATACAAGTACAGAGCATTTTATACTCTCCCAGTCACATACACAGGTAATTAATGACAGAATGCAAACATTACAATGAAATTCTGAGGTCATATACAGAATAGATAAGGAAGATCAGCCAAACATACAAGTGGCAATAAGATTGTTGTTGTGAAGTCATGACCGACCCATCGCGACCCCATGGACAACATTCCTCCAGGCCTTCCTGTCCCCCACCATCCCCCAGAGGCCGCCCAAGCTCACGCCAACTGCCCCAGTGACCCCATCCAGCCACCTCATCCTCTGCCGTCCCCTTCTTTTGCCCTCTGTTGTTCCCAGCATTAGGCTCTTCTCCAGGGAGTCCTTCCTTCTCAATAAGTGGCCAAAGTAAGATTACAATATTTCTAATTGCAGTGTATTGACATTTCAGTTGAGTAAATTCCAGAAACTTGAACCCATCTCCGGGTCTTCTTAGGTAAATTCTGGCTATTGAGAATCCATTCATAAACTCATAAGCTCATCTGTTACTATCAAGAAGGCTCAAACCCTGAGTAATGGATCCGCACCTTTCTGCACCTTTCTGATCGACTATAGCACAGGAAGCGCTGTGGGCTAGCTAACTAAATACTTCTTGGTAAACTGAATTCCTGCAGGGGCTATGTAGCAACGTTGTAGCGGTGACTGTGCATTCTACTGAATGGCCTCTCTGCTCTGGCTTACAGCTAGAGGGGGAAGGAATGGCATTTTCTTAAGGCGACAGCAATATTAAACAGTGACTTGGCTTGGAAAGCTGGTGCTATTGAGAAAGTGCAGGTTTGGATTTATAACACAAAGACACACAAGCAACGTTTTTCTGCCAGGATTTATCCAAAATTTCCCAACACCTAGTAAGAAGGATATGAGAAGGATATGAGTAAGCATTTGTGTAAGGCATGGGTCCTCAATCTAAGGCCCGTGGGCCGGATCTGGCCCGCCATGCCCATTCAACTGGCCCGCCCCACAGGTTTTGCACTCGCTGTGCAGGTGCACAGCTTGCTCACAAGGAAGTAGTTTTGGACTAGCTCGGAGAAAACGATTCCTCGTGAGCAAGCCATGTGTGCGCCTGGCGGTGGCTTGCTCACAAGGAGGTCATCTTGGACTCGATCTCTTTGAGAGCAAGTCAGCGCCTCACCCTGCCCGCCCCCTGGCACCCCGCTCGCCTCACATGCGCACACATGCTCTTCACTGGCCTGTGCCCCCTGCTGGCACTGCCTGGGCAGCCCACGCCCACCACTGGCACCTGTCAACTGGCCCCCTTTAGAAAAAGTTTGAGGACCCTGGTTTAAGGCATCAAGTGTTTGTCACAATGGTGTATCTGTCATATGCATCATGTCATATGACTCCCATAATAACTTAGTAATAAAGCAAGAGCAGTTCTCCCTGGCATCCTTGTTTTCTTTGCAGAAGTACAGAAGTGATGGTGGGAAACATGCCTGCCACCACACAAACCACATCTGCAATGTGAAGTGGTACAGTATGATACAATATAGATGGAAATACTAAAAATGCCAAATTACACAAAAATTAACTTTGATTTAAAACCACAGAATAACCCCCCCCCAACCCCCATGTGCCCTTTGGGGTAGGTCGAAGCTGGAGCAAAGAGAATAGTCTTAAGTTGATGCTGAAAAGGTAAAGTTGGTGCCAGGTGATCCTTGGTCGTTCCATAATCTGGGGGTTACCACAGAAAAGCGCCCTCTCTTTGTTGCCACCAGGCAATTCCAAGAAAGCCAATATTGATACACTCCGAACAATGATAATGTCCCATGGCAAGTGACTCTAATGAGAAAAGAAGGCTGGCCCAGGGACCCCCTGCAGGCGTTTGCCCATGTAGTCATCACCATGGATGCGAGTTT